TGAGTAAATTAAGCAAGGGTGTAATGTTTGTTTCTGTAGATAGAGAATAATGTGGTACATAATAAAATTTTGTTATAATGTGTTCTTTGCTCAGTTATTTTATTACGTACCCACGAATACGCTTTTATAGCCCGCCAACGTTTGTAATTAACTTAACTAGCAAGAAAGTAGGAACATATCATACATTATTAGTTAATTTCTTGTTGATTTTATTGAAGTTCAATTTAGGTAATTAAGGATTGCTTTGCTGGCAACCAAACACTGAATGAAAGATAAAAATTGTAAAGTTTTATTCGTTATTTCAGTTTTATGTCGGATAAATTTTAATAAAGGTCATCAATTTGATATGAGATTAATTCAGAATTTAATTATTGAAGTGATTACATTTAAAATTATAATAACAATAGTGTAAAACACTGGAGTTTAATTGAAAAATAGCGATTGGGATACAAACCCATAAAATACAATTTATCGTTCTGAAAGCAACGTCTGTAAACATCTGCAAATGTGTATATTTTCAAACCCAAGTAAGTAAATAAAATTAATTAAGATTCTCTCAATAAAACTTTAGATAAAAGTTTTAAAGAATTAAACCGACTTTAAGGCGTCACTTTAACTTAGCACATTTGTCAATAGTATCTCTCGCAGTGAACTCCGGGACTTGTATTTACGAGCTCTAACCATAAAATGTTTATTTCGTATAAATTATGCCCAACTTTTACACCCCATATTACGGAACTGAAATCAAAAAATCATTTCCGCCAAGTGATATTAAACCTTAACCCACTTATCTGGTTCAAAGTTAATTCAACAATTACAAGTTTTATCTCTGCTGCAAACAACCAAATATTTTTTAAGATAAGAATAACGTTGTAGTTTGCTGTGACTGTGTCTGGGAAAATGTGAGGTGGTGAAAATGTCACATCGCAGTGTTATAAAAATTTCATACAAATTGAAAATAACAGGTAGCAATTTTATTGCAAAATTATCGAAAATGTATTAGTATCACGTATTTGGACATTTTGTTTGTAATTACGTGTTCATGGGATTTATTTTTGATCTCTATTAATCTTTATCTATATGCATTGTGAATTTGAAATAAACATAGAATAAATATTGAATTCTATAGAGCCACATATTTTCATTGGATCAAGATTTTGCTTATTTCCAATATCCATTATAGAGTACATAATTGATAACAATGATAATGCAACTGATAACCAAAAAATCCTCGTTTTGACCTGAGAAAGTTCCTTGTTTATGTTCATTTATTCCGATTTATTTTAATCAAATCTCGAGAGGATTAATAAAATTGTGCCGATAATGATTTAACATTCGTATAAATAACTCAGGATTTCCGTCTTTTATTTAATTCTTGAATATTATTTCGAATAGCTTCACTATCGATCGTTCTGGTTCTCTTCTAAATCCCATTTATATCCTGCAGCTGCTTTCATTTTTCTAACTCATCTTTGAATTTTTCCTTTGGCATACACACATATTTTATAAGCTTTATTTCGCATTGAAATTCTCTCGTGACTTTCTTTACTAATACTGCACACAATTCTTTCCTCTTTATTTTTCTATAATAGTGATTTTTTGTTATCACATTTTAACAAATTAAAATTGGCCAATTAACCGCCACGGCTAATAAGCTTTGAAACTTCGTTGGAACGCTGCCACAAAAGAGTGATTCACATTTGTTGAAGCTTGTTGTTATCGATGTAATTTACAGTAAATACCAATTAGTAAAGTTGGCAAGTTTGGAGTCACATTTTTTAAATTTTTGATAAATTAATAAATTTACACTATTGAAATCTGACTTAGGTAAATGTTTAGGTGAAAAAAGCAAAAGAATGTATTATATCGTATAGTCGAAACCGTTTTTTATAAGGTGAAATTTTACTCGACATGATATATTTTTATGTTGCGTCTAAGTTTGAATTGTGTAAACAAATGTTCAGTATTTTTCTAACTAACTAAACACAATGTGATTATTAAGAGTGTTGGCTCTTCGATTTTTGTAGTTTTATGTTCGCTGGTTATAATCCAAACTAATCCAAAGGCACAGGAGCAATTTCTGCTAAATAAACGTTCCGGTCTTATGCCAATATTTTCTCGCACACGTTTTCAGCCTCAGTAAATCCTGAGGAGACATAAATGCAATTCCAACATGTAACCCTCCTCCAATTCGAGAGAACTCGAGAATTCGACGCTCGATAACAATTGGTAACAGACGACGTCTACAATGATAGACCGACATACAAGTTACCTCACGATTTACATATTTGCCCCGAAAACCAGACGACGAATCAATATAGGTAACAGATCAGAATTTTCCATTTACCCTTTTCGTAAAAAAAAAATAAGAGATTAAGTTACAGAATTAGAGTACACTACACTTTAACAAAAATGATTTTTCTTTTAGAAACTAAATCGGGTAAGAAATTGCTGTATGTATATATATATATATATATATAATTTTCCTTTTTCCAAGTTGTTTTCAAAAACAAGCCGTGATGGGAATTTATTAGTGGTCACTTACTGAACAAAAGGTTTCTAAAGGCATTTTTTAAAGAAAATATCAATGCATCAGTAGTGGCAGGCAACCAGTTATACAACTACAAAATAAAACGTGAAATTGTGGTAAAGATCACTTATTTAAACCACTTAAAAATTGAAATACAAAAAGTTGGGATTTGAGTCATAACATATTCGTTATTGGATCAATTCTACTATGATTTAAATAAATTTATTAGTGTTTTTATTCCCAACGAATAACACACTCAAAAAGGGGTTGTAGAATATTTGATCTGGAGCAAAATTTTAGACTTCACGGCTGTGTTTGGACTATTAGGAGGTATTTGGTATTACACGTTTCCGGTCCTTCGAGGTGAGCGCGGCGCAAGGGGGCACTAAGAAGATGCTGTTTTATGGCTTCTCACTTATGCCTAGAAAACGGTGTATATTTTAAAAATGGTTATGTTATGTATTAAATTAAAGCTTATAAAATTTTCTACAAGACAATCTGTTTGGTATTTTTGGATCTTAAATAGTTTTTGAGATATCCACTAGCAAATATTGCACACATTTTGTTTTTGTTTTTACAACATGGTACCTAAATCCGAAGTTTACAGCAAAAGTGTTTGTGGCGAAATGTTGATTATAGATTGTAAATTATATTGTTGGTCTCTGCTGCCTATAGAATGCTGTCTTTTCAAGAGAGTGAGGTTATGTTTCACTTCTTGGATTGTGTTCCTCTTGCATGAAAATGTTCAAAATGTTCATATTCGAATAAAATTATCATCACTAATTCATGTTGTAAGCGCAAAGGATGGGTAAAACATTAACTTCCTATTTCTATTTTGCGGTTTAAGGTTTTACATATTTCCCCATCAAGTACAGCAAGACGTGCAAATTTTCTGTGACAATACTCACAATAGTTATAACAGAGAGCACAAAGCCCATAAAGGGCACATACATAACATTTTCATTAAAAATTGGAGTTACCTTAATGAAAGAATGCAAATCCGAATTAACTAATTTCGCTATTTTTTAATTAAACTAGAGTCTACTCTGTCATTGGTTTCTCCATGGTTACTGTTATTATAATAATGGCCGACCTCAGACGGACCAATCCCATCTTTGCTTTAAATTTTTGAATGAATCCAAAAATCTAAAGTGATTGGTTTTTTACATTATTATAATGGCCGACCTTAAACGACCCAATCACAATACTTACAACTTTTACAATAATATTTACGTTAATTCATTAATTGTCTTTTAGTTTAATTAGCAAATAGGGAGCCAGTACGCTATTTGATAGCAAATATCTTGAACTATTTGGAATACAAAAAACTCGAAGAGACCTTTTTGAAGAAAATTTTATAGGCTTTATAACTATTATTTTTGTAACACCCACCGTTTTTTGGGATATAGGCCAAGAAGCATAAAATGGCACCGTCTTATTGGTACCCCCCTGCGCTCTGCTTACCACGGACAACCAGGGACTTTTAATATTTACTTCTGAACTAACTTATATCCTACAATCTTGAAGTAAAAAATTCTGTTCGTTATTGGACTAGTAGTGACTGAGATCAAACATTACACTAGCCAACAAGCATTTTGTGACTGAGAAGAAAACAGTTATTTTTTGTTCAATTCTATGAACTAAACTTAAAAATGATAAAGAAAATTCCATAGCACGTCAAATTTTAAAGTTAGGCATTTTAAGATATCATATTTAAGTATGTTCGACAAAATCGCCGAAAAACGAAACACTTAAAATTCATTTTCTCCATTCCCATTTAATTTTTTTCCCCCAAATTTGAGTACCGTTAGTGACGAGCGAGGGAAAAGGTTCCACCATGATATATTGACGATGGAGAAGAGGTACTGAGGGAGATGGGATCCAGCTATGATGGGAGATTACTGCTGGTTCCTGATAAGGGAAGTTAAAACACCCTACAAAAGAAAGTCAGCTTTTGCAAAAAACTCATCTACAACAGATTTATGTTAGTCTTATATATCTTTCAACATTGTTCTTGTAGAGTGAATAAATCAATTTCTTTCGTCGTCTATTTAAATAATTTCTATTTGAAATGAACAATTTTTACGATAAAATTTGAGAAAACCGTTTTCCTGTAACTTAAAATCTATACGTGATGGAGAATTTTTCTTATCAAATTCGTAATTAGGAATATTAATGTACCCTGATACATGAGTCAATAGATCAATCAATCACATAAAAAAAATTGTTGAGTAGTGTTATTACACTCAACAAATGACATGAAAATAAACTCATGTTTCATTCAGTAGATGTATGTTGGTTGCTTACCACAAAAAATGTCGTTTAAAAATAATTTGTTACATTCCAAAAATGGAATTAGAGAAATTAAAATCCACCCAATTTGTCTTTCTAACGAGGTAATCATCCGTATCTGGGGGAAAAACCGAAGGAAATTTTCATCAACTTCCTCTGATTTTTATTTTTTGATCAGGTGACGGTTCTCAATCTGATAACGAAGCTTGCGGCGAAGCAAATTCCGATCACGAAGAACAAGAGGAGAAGGAAAAGACTGACCAAAGCCAACAAACTACACCCACAACCCCGCCGAATGATTCCGGTAGGTGTATAATTTAATTTATTCTTTCTAATGGTAATAACTCAAGTTGTTCGCATTTAATTAATTAAGCATCAGCATCCCACCGCTTTGCACAAATTTATTGCGTTCATCAACGTGGACAAAAAATTGTTAATTACGCTTCACCTAAATGACATCGCGAAACTTTGTAATTTGCGAAAATACGTTTCTGGTATTAATATTTGTGTTGAATTGCAGATAGTCCGAATAGTCAACGATATATCCTTGAAACTATAACCATGACATCTGTGACCGAACAACGTATTCTTCGGGAAGTCGAAGAGGAGAGAAAAACTCCGCCTATAAATAATGCTGTCGCGGGGGGGTCCCCCATCAATGGGATACTCAAAGGAGGCAAGCTTTGGAAGCAACAGAGTATTGAAGCGAGTGTGGTCAAACCTCCGGAACCACAGCAGGTAGTCTTTGAAACATTTTAGAACCTGGGTGCAAGTCCCAACTTTCACTCAATACTTTTGCAATAAAATGCATTACTCATAATAATATAATGTTTTTGCTAACAAATTTTCGTCCCACGAGTAAAAAACTAATTCATTTTCCTACACCTACGCTCACGAGTTTTTTTATTTGTCTTTGAGTTTGGTTTAATATTTCTCTTGTTTTGATGTTGATTTTTATTCAACTAATTTGTAGTCATCACAGATTTTTTGATTAATTCAGCTACAAATTTTAATTGGATTTAGCAAAAATATTGGCTGAAAAGGCATTTTTGGTTTGTAATTGGGTCAAGCAAGTGTGTATTTTTCCAGCTAATTGATTCAAACGTGGCTTCTGATGAAGAGGGTGGTGGCCGTCGTTCGGTTCGTTTTATAGAATCGGAGCAGAACAAGCGTGACAGTTGTGACGGAGCCCCCGATAATTCGGTGGAAGAAAATATCAAGACGGAGAGCAGTAACAACCAAACAAAACAGAGCAGTGGCGAAAATTGCAGCAGCTCGATATCGCCCGAATCGACCGAAATGATGTTGACTTTTAAATTGGGCAATCACGTCCTAATTTCGAACAACAGTTTGAAACCGAACTCGGCGGTGCGTCAGCTCTTCCCTTGCACTAAACAGTTGAATGGCAAAGCGGAAGACGAATCTATACATCAGTATCTGGTAACTGCCGAGTCGTTGCGAGCATTTGAAGAAGCCAAGCGTTCGAAACTACCACAAATCATTCAAAGTGGGGAAACTGATGAGTCTATTAAACGAGCTATTGAACGTAACACCCTCAGAAGGTCCCTGATACGCTACGAACCGAGGAGCAAAAAGAACGTGCAAAAGACTGACAACTCTCTCGTTGAGAGAATTAAACAATTAACTTGTGATGTGGACGATATTAATCAGACGGAGGAAATAACGCTCCGTGCAAGTCCTCCGGGAGAAGAGACGAAACATTCGCCAGAAGTCAATCCACCTAAAAACACGGATAAAAGTTTCTCGCCGTCCTCGTCATCGACGGCCAGTTCTAACTCATCCTCGATGTCTTCCACTTATAAAAAAATTACTGATTTGTTCGGGAAACGAGACAAGATCCCTGACAGCAACCCAACGAATGAACTAAAAGTCACACCTTCGTTGCCAGACCTGGGGAACGGGAGCTCACACATACATGAAATTGCAGAAGCAAACCATGTGGTCGTTTCCAAAGTTAATTCAACAAATGACTCGAGAAAACAGTTTCTTTCGACACTTGCACCACTCACGGCTTGTGTTGGTGGATTAGGGAATGGTGAAGAGTATTACTACCAAATGAATAATCATGTAGGGGAAAGAGCTTCAGTTGCCAGTTCGGTAGGGACTGAATACAGTTTAGAAGATATAGATGAAGGTTTGAAGACTACTGAGGAAGAATCGAAGAAGATTGCTCCAGACGTGTTAGCTGGAACGCCTTCAGCGTCGGAATCTGGTGATGAATTAGCAATGTTTGTTCAACAGGATGCTAGTCGAATCGAACGAATTAAGAAGAAGTAAGTAAAACCCCGATTAATCGTGTTGTAATTATTCAAACATTGGTGTTAGTAAGACCAAGGATTTATTTTGCTTAATTGGTTCGGATTATCCGAGATGATTACATATTTATCTGGGTTTTGAAAACACTTAAGCTTTTAAGTATAGGAAAGAGTAAATAAATAACAAATAATAATAATAATTCTTTTTTATTTAAATTACATATTAAGTAAGATACTTTCTTGTTAGTCAGTCACATTCTGTGAGAATTGAGAACTCCGTTTAAAGCCACCGTTTTTTTTAATTTTAAGATGAAAAAGAATAAAATTATGTACTAAAATGGTTTTCTAATCTTGTATATAAAATAAAATAAGATTAAAGATTTAAACAAGATATTTTAACTTCTTAAAATGGTAGGCTTAATTATTGTGCCTATATCATCACAAAGGGAAACTTTAATTAAAAATCATTAAAAAGAACAAAAACAAGTTAAGGTATGAACTACCGAAAAACTTACTTTCCAAAAAATACATATTTTTGATTAAACTATCAAAAAGTTTAATTCTCTAAAAATTTCTAGACATAACATAAACTTCCTCATTTAACTTTCAACGTTTTATTGTGTTTCCCGAATTATCAAAGAAATTTCCAGTAAAATACTTTCTTCCAACTTGAATAAATATAGATTAATGCATTAATACGTAAAATACGAGTTTCTATTACCTACCAAAATGACATAGGTCTTATTGAAATGAGTTTGTATTATAAATACCCGAAAAAAGTTATTTTAGGTGAACAAATACGGGAATTAACAATAATTATGTTATTATAGTATTTAGTTTGTAATTTACTTGTTTTGCAAATTAAACATGTAAATTTTTAATAATCTGCATTTTCTTATACTTCGTGAGTTTGATAAAATAAGTATATTTTTACTATATCTCGGAAAACTAATAATCCCACAAAATTCAGTGTTTGCTATTAAATATACATTGAGCGGCAAAATTATGAAATAATCTTATTAAAACTGAAAATATTATTTTTCTTTTAGAAAAATGCACAATTTTCAGCTTATTTAAAATTTCACACTTTTTGGTTTTTGAGTAATGACGTCATCGACATTTTTTTTAAAGGAAATTCCTATTTTTTAGCCAATTTGATAGATCTGTTAACTGTCGAAAGGACAACACTAAAATTTTAAAAATTACAAAAATTTTTCGAAAAAGAAATCACCAAAAAAGTTAAATATCACACACATAATTTTAAACCAAGTTGAAAATAATGTATATTTTAAAAAGAAATTTGACCTATTTAAGTATTTTTGTCAAAACAAAAGATTATTTTATAATTTTGCGCTCACTGTAGGTATATTTTTTTCTATGTAGGTATGTGAATTTTTTCAGAATTTTTCTACAATTCCTTCTAATTAAATTAATTCATTAATTACCTACTCTTAAGTCGCTGCAAAAAAATATTATTTCTTAGTCGTTTTAGAACACGCTATGCTTAAATGTTGTTTAGTGCAAAAAATCCGTAAAAAATGTCATTAGCAAAAAATTATAAATTAAGTAAAAAATAAAAATTCAAATAAATGTAATTTTGGAGCTAGCAACAATTCTATTAAGAATTTGATTAAAACATCATTTAAGAAATCATAAAAATCAAAAAAATTGGACTAATTCATATTTTTATATTTTTGATTTTATTGATATTTATATTTATAACTAGGTACCTATAGCAAACGCTGAATTTTGTGTGATTATTTTGTTTTCGAAATATGACAAAAATATACTTTTAGCAGACTCACGTGGTATACCTACTTATTTTGTGTTTATGTTTATGTAGTTTACTTTTACTTCTTATGTTTTGTAGCAATAAGTTTTTACGAGTACAATGTGAGATAAAACCACAACCAAGTTTTTGATTTATTTAAAAAATATTTTCAATTTTCAAAGGTATCAGCCTGAGCAGTCAAACAAGGACGACGAGGACGACGAGCACGACGACTACGGCTTCAACCGGCGTCCCAGCGTCCGCGGAATCAAACCCCGCTTTGGCTCAACGACTGAAATCCTGCAACAGATTCAAAACCAGCTTCAACCCCCAGCAGCAACTGCCCGAGTCGCTTGGCCATACTACTCTGAAAGTGGTTTGACGGTCGACAACTCAAAATCGCGTAACATGAACCAAAACATGCCAAACTATCAATACCCCAACGTACCTGAAGAAGTGAAAACTCGCAACATCCCGCCACAGTACCGCCCCACGTCCCTCCAAGACGAAAACATCTACCAAAACTGTGCGAATCAAAGATGCATCCGAGAAGTCTATCGAGCAAACGGCAATCAAACATATTCCTCGTTCGTCAAAGTTGGGGGCTGCACCGAGTACTACCAATCGTTCCCTCGGACGCGAAACGGCCGCCCCCAATCGCCTCCACCCCTCGAACTCTCCAAAGCCTACCACCAAACCATGGTTTACATCCCTTACAACCACATCGAGGGCTACCACAGCCCCTACTACCAATCAAACGACTACGCGAGAGTCTCGAATCAAAACCAGATCAATAAGAGGTACATCGAACCCATTTACCAGCAGCGGATTCACGAGGAGCCCCACTACAACATGCTCCCTATGAAACCCATCATCCGGCCCCATTTAATGCCCCGGAGTGAGTCCCCCGTCCCCCAATTCTCCACCGCCCGTTCTACACAAACCCCTCTCGCCACAGCCTCCTACTATGGGACCCGCTACCGTCCCATGGTGGGGCCGTGGCCGACTGATTGCAATTACGTGAAAGCGAATAGACATAGTTTTCCCTCGGCTGTGCCTCGGTATCCCCCAGCTGACAGCGTGTCAACCGACAGTGATAGTCAACACAGTCAAATCAACGGGTTGGGGTACCCCCAGAAGGACTCTCTTCCGAATTCCCCCACGAAGCCGCGCTTCCATGAACGGGGGGTTCCAGAGGGAGCAGCAGCAAACGTCCTCTCGCAGGACGCCACCTCGCAGAGCTCCAGCAGCACCATGACGTCGCCCACGTCGCCGCAGAACCCGCCGCCGCCGTCACAGAAACCAATGTTCTATGCGATGAATGTTTGACCTGATGAATAGTTGCACGTTAGAGTCAACATTTGTTTCGTGAAATCGAACGGGAATTGAAGAGGAGCGAGAAGGCTGGAATCCGCTTTAAAAGAAAGCATTATCGACATAAAGAAGACTTTTAACGTAGGTTATAATAACCATAAAGGCAGAATATTTACAGTATTCCAAACTATGTGTAGGTATGTTGTTTAAATGTCACAGTAACGAATCGTTCAATAATTGTAGCAAAGGGTTCGTGTTATTCAATATTGATACTAAATTATGCGTAGGTAGTTTGCATATTTGAGGAAAATTACGTTCGACGTGTTGCTACAATTTTTCAATCTAGATTTGTTATGTTTCATTTAGATCGATTCAGTATTGATAGATTAACAACTAAACTAAAGGTTGTTAAAAAATAGAAATTGTATGTTTTTTTAATGTTATATCAAATGTATAGATTAGTAGTCATTGTTGCCAAAAATGAGATTCCATTACCAAAGTATTATAGGTACCTAGATAAGTGTTATTGACCAAATAATTGATATATTTTAACTCATGCTTTCAAAAGGCGCTTTGTCCAGTTTTTAGTTAGACTTACCTCGATAACGTGTGATTCAAAATTGACAAAGTTGCTTTCAACTATTTGAAAGTATTGTAGCTTTAATGTATTGATTAAAATATTTATTATAAAATTGTTTACTAAACTACTTTTAATAAAAAGGAAATTAAAATATTTATTTATTAATGAAAAAAGTGAGATAAATATTAGAACGGTCTAATATTTTGTAATTTATTAGATATTCTATGTACAAAATGATCTTTTAAATTAAATATTGCTCAGAAACATAAATATACACTGAACGGTTGGAATTGGTTTTTGTAAAATGAAAACGTTGAAGATAATATATTATTTTGTTAATGTTTTTATGTTGTATTGATTTTCTAATATTTTATATCAGCATTGTTTATAACAATTGATCTTATAATTGCTCGTCAACTGACATGTGTATGAAATTATGAATAAATCTTACTACTACAAGGGCTGTTATACCCCACACCCACTTATTTTCAATCATTTGACCGGCGATGTTGCAACATATTTTTTTAGAAAAATATTGACTATGAAGTTATTTAACTAACTGAAGAAAATGATGCGCAAACTGTATTTCGATATTTATGTGATCCAAACTTTTTGTGCAAAATGTTAATTAATAGAATTTCAATTAAAATCATCTGCAGTAGGAATAAAGCCGCAATAAAGTTGCAGTTTGGAGATCAAAAAACTTTTTCTCTCATGTGACATATTAAAATCTGTCTCAAATTAAATTAAAAACAAAGATCATATTATTTATTGTATAATTGTAAAATAAATAGAAAACAAGTAAAAAATAAATTACAAAGACTTAAAATGTTAAATACTAAATTTAATATTTAATTTTGGTAATATTAAAGTTTTTTTATTAGAAGAGTGGTTGTTTCCTATAATTGTCAAATGCATCAAGGAGATGTGCAATTACGGCGAAGAGCCCGAAAATCTGAAATTAAAAAAATCATATAGGTAAATAATTTGAAGGTTATTTGGTTATTTTTGATTTTGGTGTTTTTGTTTTTAATTTGGTTACTTACTCCTCCAGCAATTACTTTAGAAATCCCTCGACCATGATGCAAAACTAGTGCTACAGCCACTATGTAATAAATTGCTAATATGATATGAACTCCAAACTGGAATTTGTTCCATTGAAAACCAACTTTTTCAACTACTCCAGTGACATATAAAAGTAACAAAATCACAGCAATTATTATGGAAAAGGAGGCTGCTACTTCAAATGTGGTTACAACCCACCCTGAATAATCCACTCCTACTAGTAAAACTCCTATGAAACTGAATATCTACATAACAAAAAAATATTTTAAGTTTTTGCTAACTTGACAGAGTTTTGTCCTTACAGTTTCTGCTATTTTACACACTCCTTGGATTGTACTCAAGTACCCAACGCCAATAATTTGCTGCTGTAACAGACAAATTACAAAAATGTATCTATAACAGGATTAAAGTAATACCTAAATTTATGGCTTTTACAGATAAGTACTTAATTAAAAATTAAGAATGAATGAAATGTCTGTTAATTTCGATTTAAAAATAAAAAGACTATGATTGTTAATAAATAAATAGGAATGTTTAATTATTTCTTACCACATTATCAGAAGACATTTTCGCTAATAGAATTGTTAAAAAATAATTGACCATGCCTTTATATAAAGTTAGTCATTATCTACTATCTTTTATCTTTCTTATCTATCGTTTTAAGTACTTCCGACTAAAAAATATTTGTCAATAAGAAGTGAAAACTAATTAATGCCTTTTCATACATATTGAACAAATTCAGTTTTAATTTAAAGCTTTTCTTTTAATAATAAAACAATGTTTTTTTATTCACTTATTACTTAATTTTATATCACACATTTATTTGTTCAAAATTAAATAACACAAAAATTAAAAGTTGTAACATTATTAAAATAAAATATAAGTAATATTTAAAATCCAACACTTTAAAAAAATATCAATTTTAATACGCCTGGAATTGAACAAAAGTCCGGATATGTGGATATGTTAGTGTTATCCAAATTTTATTCAAAATAATTCATTCATTCTAACAACAAACCTAGAGATTTATTAACTTCTAAATATCATAACATGACAAATAGCAATAGAATTTATCTTTTGTTAGCATAGGTTTAAAGTATTTACACAATATTGTTTTGAGAAAAAGATAAGTCTTAGAGGAAAACGCGCTAGCCTTAAAAACTGTATTTTTTTAATCAATTTCTAACATTTATAATATTTGTGTAGGTATATATTTGGACTTCTATCGTTATCGTTATCATAGATACGTTTGATTGATTCTCGTAAGATGACGAGACAATATACATTCCACATACTTATTCTTATTACATACATGTAGAATGTATCTTGTGTTGTTTGTATTTTTGTAAGGCTTGTCATCTTACATGAATCGGCCTGTATTACTCGTATGTAGTTGAATTTTATCCTAATTTAAATCTTAAACCTTTGTTTTAAATCATAATGGTATTATATTTTTTAACAATTATTTTTTGGCAAAATTCATCATTCTGAGAAACACTTATTGGAGTTCCTTTTATCATTTTATCAATTAGGATTATTGTTATAGAAAACATCTAAATTTACCTGAACATACAAAGTATCCAAACCACAATACATACCCACTTTTTGTTGATTAATACAGGGTGTTTACGGTCTTGAGGTTGAAATTTAAATGAGATGATATTCACGGTAAAAGAAACTAATACGCTATATAAAACAAAAATTCACGTTGTTAAAGGAAATTATTCATTTTACACTATTTGTTTGAGAACTGCTGCTTCGGCTGCAACAGTGGTCATTAGTATCATCACCAAGTTATTATTTTAATATTTTGACATACATGTTTATAAATTTGGAGAAAAATTAAGAAAAACGAATCAAACCTGTTGGAAACCATTCGCTTAAAGAGATTAAACAGAAGATCTTCGAATTTTGATAAAAACTAAAGCAATAACAAATCAAATGATGACAGTGTCAAAACTATGAAGTGACTTTTCTCTTTCATTGTCATGGATACGTTTTTTTTGTCTGTTGCAACAATACACACAATTTTATTCAAGTGACCCTCAAACCGTGTACCAATATTTTGGAGTTAAATAACATTCTTGATAATAACAATTGTGTGAATTTTTTCTCGGTTACAGTATTTCTGTACTCTTCTATTACTAGGTCAATTTTCAACTCCAAGACTGTAAACACCCTGTATAACAATTTGTAATAACTTACAACGTGCTTACTTAAATGAATAAACAATGTAAAAAACGATAATTTGAAAATGTCAGAAAATTCTGTTCACAATTTAAGTGAAAACTTGTCTCTACGATAGAATGCGGTTATGGTGTATTATTATTAAATATTGCAAAATGTTAGTAAAAATAAATATATTTAAACCAAATAATACAGTGGAGTTTAAAATGGTAATTTTATAAGATGGCAGTCATTCTTCTGGATTAAAAACTGTTACGTATATAAAATCACTAAATCATATTAATTTGTCAAAATTACTAAATGTTACGCAAAACAAAACAGTGGTGACGGATCAGTTCTGTAGCAGTCAATTGCATCCACCAAATACAACACACATGCAATTGTTCCAAAACTCTGAAAAATACAAATTTAAAAAAGAAGAAATAAGAATTTTATGAAAAATGTAATACCCCTCCAGCCATGTATCGATTATTGTAATTTTCTGAAAGTATTATTGCTGATACTACTAATAAGTATATAAATAAAACCACATTGTAGTAGATTTGAAATGCTAAAAATCCCTGAAGAGGTCTTCCTGCTTTTGTGATATGAAGTATCAATAGGAGGAAAGAGATTACTAAACCAACAGCTGTACCAACGACATATGCATTTGTTAAATCGCGTGACCATCCATCTATGGCTATTAAGATAAGACCTATGAAGCAAACTACCTGCAAAAAAAAATAAAAAATATTAATAACAACTCCTGCATGCTATAATAATGTCACTCAGCATAATTATTTTCAATGACCGGTAAAATATAAGTACATATACGACTTTAATCTACATAAACATAAAAGATAATGCACACAATATGGTGTTTGGCAATAGTTGATTTTGTTGAAATAATTTGTTGTTTCGTCAAAGTAAATGTTAATACAATATTTCCGAAAATTATGCTAAATTAACAGCTAGCAATTCTAGTAAAAGGTATCAAAAACAATTGAATGCAAATAAAGCAGAAAATAACGTGAAGTTATGTCATTTCTTCTAACAATAATTATCTTCCAGTACCATTTTGACAATACAAATTGCACTATTAATATGAACATAAATATTTAATTATTAAGTGAATCATTTTGGGGAGAGATTTTTTGATTTTTGATAAAGGAAAATATTCTAGGTCTTATTTTTTCAAAGTTTATTGGTATAATAACTTGCTACATGTTTCGGCTATAATTTTGGATAGCTATCCTCAGGGACTACAAGAAACCTTATATTTTTGACTATTCAATTCACCTCTCTTTTTTAAAATATTAACCAATAAAATAGCAAAGATTTACTTTTGTATCCTAGCAATAGCAAATACCAGCGCATATTTCACTCGTGGTAAAATATAACTGGATATTCAACTTTGCTATGACAAATTTGCCATTTGGTTCATTGGAATAGTCTGTTTTTCGTAGTCAAAGCTTGTAGAATATTTTTGCTTACTTATGGTATTATAACTGAGAATTAAATTTAAAATTTACCTAAATTTTTGTGTAATTCGTCCCCTCCCCGCTCAATACTTTTACACCACTTTTATGAAAAGAAATTTTGTTTTTGTGTATGCCCAGAATTTTTGTTTCAAGCAGAGCCATAATCAATAAATAACATTAAATAAGAATAAATGATGTCTTCAGGGTGAAAAAAAAATCTTTTATCAAAGACTGTCTGATACAAAGTTATCACAGGCCTTGAATTTTCTGTAAACAAACGGAAAAAACGTACATACACAAAAATTTATCCAATGCACATTACGTAAATTTTGGGAAATTCAAAAAATTCCACTTGTGGAGATTTACCGTTGCGGGGACTGGGAATTTGTTCAACGTAAAGAGGTTCGAGAAAAAATTATATTAATTTCTATTAGTAAATGCTCGGGACCAGACAATCACTTCGACTTATCGAAATGTCCAAATATAGAGGTTCGATTCATTGAGGTTCTACTGTATTACGTACCTATAAATAGCTATTAATTAGCTAACTGATATTTTTTTGTTTTTATGCTTTTGTTCAATTAATTAAAGAAAAAAAAAACCTTTATTTTAGATTGAACACAACGTTTTTATAATTTTGTTACATAACTTCATTACCAAGAAGAGAAAATGTTTAGATACCATAATCAACTGAAATCTGCCATATTTTGAGTTTGCCTAAAATGTGTATCTAAACAGTAGGTGCAGCATTATTATTTACTTTGCTTTAAATTAAAAAAATCTCTTCAAAGTCACAAGAATGCAAAAAATTTTAAATAAGATCATAACCCATTCAATTAATATTATTATTTATACTTAAAATCTATATTGGAATTTTGAAAAATAGCACAACAATCATATTAGAGCATGAGCAAGAACTCAACAACGTACACATTACACAAACAACTTTATCGTCAACATGCCTCATTAAATGCGCTCGTAACAATTATAATAACACATTTTCCATAAAAGTGGAACGGAAATTTTTATGCTATTTGAACTATTTCTTCCTTCCACACATAATTCAAAAAATACTCACTGCTTCTGCAATTTTTATTATCCCTTGCGAGGTTTTAATGTGCCCAGTACCATAAACAATGGTCTGAAATAAATCAATGTAATGGTATATCGATTTAATAATTCTTTACTTTACCCCCATTTTGTTTTTACACAACACTGTTTCAACACTATCTCAACATTTTTATCGCTTTAATCTTATCAAAATAAATTATTTTTCAAAGGTCGCGTAAAACCGGGTAATTTGAACGCAACTGTGGAAGTCATATGCATCAATGCTCGCAAATGTTAGTTAACTAACCATAACATTTCAACTTTAATATTTATTTCAACGAAACAAGTGTATGGCATTGCGCCAGGAAGTTTTCAAGTTATTTCTAAAAAAAGACGGTGGGAGGAAAGGGAAATTTGCGGAAATTCGAGCTACAAGACTAATAAAATTTTATACAGTTTTTCTAAAAATACAGTGAAAAGTTAATGTGTAAAACTGTATTCAACATTATTAAAATATTATATTATAAACACTTAGATTAGATAAAGTTACCAAGTTGGCCCTAAAAATAGATAAACTGTCTCTTGTTATTCGTTTTAATGGAATGTACTTTTTTACTCCAAATCTGGCATGTTTGGTACTGTCCATGCATATTTTGGGGCTGGTGTAATAGCAACTTTGTATCTTTCAAACGTGTCGATAAAATAGACTCCTGCGGTAACATAGCCCATAATCTAAAAAAAGATGAACATATCTTCGCATTTTTTTGTACTATTCGTACCCCTGTTATGACATATCCTCTTGTGAAATCCATCATAACGAGAGACGAAACACCAACTATAGCCACAGCAATAATTAAAACCGCTATACATTCGATCCAATACCATGGTAATCTGGACCTCCGTATAACACCTCGTATATGCAAAGCTGTGAAAATTATTGTATAAATCGATGCCAAAGCCACCACAAAAGTGAAGATGTTGGCTTTTATTGAATATCCGGAAAAAGCCATAAAAATTATTATTGTTATATCCAGAAGCTGGGAAAAATGATGTTTTATTACCGTTTTGACACTAAAGTTTTTACCTCTTCTATTATGTTAAGTCCTCCGGCATAAGTCCACAAATACTGCCATCCTATAACAGGAACTGCCTGTTTCAAATATTACGTTTTAATTAAATTGTATAGATTTTGTGTGTACTTACATTTTTAGAATCCATTTTTACTTGAAATTAGATTACACCACCCAGCATTGCTGTTCACATATCTTTTATCTTATCAACAAATAAAAAATAATAATGTGAATTACAGGTTGGATGTTCAGGTATACTATCTCTTAATCAATCATTTAGACGTTAGTCATAATCGTAGAAAAATTTATAAAAAAATATTTTGTGACTGAAATTTACTTGCAGACGTGTTGCTTATACAGTAGGTATATAGCGTGCTTTATCACTGCCAACAAAGATTATTAATTTTAGATGTATTACTCAAAAACAAACACTAAAATCCCAAAAGCGCAATTAATGATAAGACTACAATACTTTTGTGGTTTATTATTATTTATTATGCAGTTTCTACGGCTGGCCTATAAACATTATAGTCTCTTTACTAAACCTTGTATATTTTTTTTACTAAATGAAATTATTGTTAAAGTGTTAAGTAGGTATTTAATGATTTTGACATTGAATCATTAAGCAATATTATTTTTGGAAAAATTGTTCTAGGGAAAAGTGATTAACATTACTGATAAGTGATAACAGTAACAACACCGAACCCAACATTAATTCAGGACGACGTGTGTAATAGTCGTTTTAAATTCTTACAAACACTCAAAATTTTCATTTGCTATGTTATATTTACATGATTTTATGGTTTCGCCTTACCAAACTAGTTTATGAGGGATTTAATGGGGTTCTTCGTAAAATTGCTTACAAGCCTATATGCTGAGTTTCCATTCTTGCGATTGTAAGTAAAAGATTATAAAAGTTTTTGTTTCAGTTTGTGTACTTTTATCAATATAATTTTTATCAGTTAATTTTTATAAATAAAATAAATGAATTACAAAACGTACAATTTCTGATATTTATTACATTAGAGATCAATTATACCAACAATTACAAAGATTTCGATTTAGGTGCTGAAATGTGATGTGACTTGTCGGGTAAACCCAAAATCCGCAAATAAAAGTTCTCTAAAAACCTCTAAAATTTCGTAACTGCAATATAGCATGGGCATCGGATTTTGAAAATCGCTGAGGTCAGAAATAATATGAAGAAAACTCATAAATATGAAGAAAGTTACTGTAAATAATTTTAAAATATTTATTTTTCTATTCTCACCTATTTTGAAAATGTTAATAAAATATTAATGACTATAATAAAAGTACAAGATGGCTAAAATAAAGCGACCAAAAAGTGTTTTTTTCTGCGTTTTTTGTACGAAACTTAACTTAAAGTACGAGCTTAAAAATTTGAAATAAAAAAAATTAAATTACTTAAATTTTTAAAGAACAAAGTGTTTCAAATCACGCGCCCCAAAAAAATTCCAAGTAAGATAGGATGCCAGGAACATGAAAGAAATGTTTTAAAAAAATATTTTTTGATATTTGACATTTTTTTATGTTTTTTTAATATTTTAACAAAATAGTTGCTTAAATAACAGTTTTCTTTCAAAATATAGCAATCTGAGCAATTTTCAATCCAATTTTGCTCGATTTTAACAAAGAAATCATTCTAAATGTATTTTATATTTTCTTTTATTTTCCGTATCCACTGAGTTATTGAAAGAAATAAAACTTAAATTGGCTTATAGATCCTCGATTATACAACACGATTACATGAAATGGACGTTTCAATACAACATTAGTACTATCATCTTCAGCATAACAATTAAAATAAGAACTAAAAGCGATTGTAGCAACTTTAAGTTTTATTTCCTTCAATGTATTTTATAAAAATAATTGCTTAAGTTCAAATTTGTGCTATTTCCAATGGATTGGCTTAATTTTAAGAGGAAAATCAACCTGAATCAATGTATTTCAACAAAATAAATTCTTAAATAATAGTTTTCTGCCAAAATAAAGCAATTTGAGTTACTTCCAATTCAATTTTGGCCGATTTTAACACAGAAATCATTCTAAATCAATGTATTTTTGCCTAAATTTAAATTTTAGACCAAAATGAAGCAATTTGTGCTATTTCCATTCGATTTGGTCAGAAATAAACCTAAATCAATGTACTATATTTTAACAAAATAAGTGCTTAAATAACAGTTTTCTGCTAAAATAAAGCAATTTGAGGAACTTCCAATCCAAGTTTGCTTGATTTAAACACTGGAATCATTCTAAATTATTGTATTTTATAATTGCTTAAATAAGAGCTTTCTGTCAATATAAAGCAAATTGTGCTCTTTTCAAAAGATTTAGTTCGATTTTAAGCCAGAAATCAACCTAAATCAATCTATTTCAACAAAACAAATGCTTAAGTAACAGTTTTCTACAAAAATAAAGCAATTTGAACTACTTCCAATCCAATTTTGCTCGATTTTAACACAGAAATCGTTTTAAATCAATGTATTTTATAAAAACGATTGCTTAAATTAGAATTTTATGCCAAAATAAAGCAATGTGTGCAATTTACAATCGATTTGGCTCAATTTCAATACAGAAATCAACCTAAATCAGTGTATTTTAACAAAATAAATGCTTATACAAAAGTTTTCTATCAAAATAAAGCAATTTGAACTATTTCCAATCCAATTATGTGCGATTTTAAGTATTATTTAGTGTTACTGATGATCTTGTATATGTTTCATATGTTTTTTTCATAATTATTTAGTAAAGCATAAAGCTACAAAAAGTTTGCCAATAAAAGTAGTGTAGAAAGTGCAAAATTTAAACTTCCATAATTTCAAAATTTTTATAGATAGAAATTTTTTCTATGTTCGTGGAATCTTACCTTATATGACATTTTTTTCTGGGGCGCGAGTTCTGGAACACCTGTGTATATGGATTACTGGGGTTTCAAAACGGTTTAGAAATCCTAAAAATATTTGAGATACTGAAACTGTAAACAAAAACATTTTAATTATTGAGGTCTCTATAAGCCATTATTGTATTATAATCAATAACTGTCTATTGACTATTATTTATTCATAAACATATCCTTCGTAATTTTTCATAAAATCAAAAAATGCAGTTTTAAATAATAAGTTTATTTATTAAAACAATAACAAAATATACAAAAATTAGATACTGATAATTAACAGACATAACAATATGTTATTGCCTTTCCATCAGCGCGAGTCGAACCCCATTATCAGATTTAAGTACAGTTTCTGCCACAAGATCCAACGTATGATGAGGTGTCGCTGGACACAGTTTAAAGTTCCTCAACACTTTGGAAATTGTACTTTTCATCTCCAACATTGCAAACTTTTGCCCTGTGACGATAAAATTATAAGTTTTCGAGACTATGCTGACTTTGCCCTTACCTATGCAATTTCTAGGGCCAGCACTGAAGGGTACGTAAGCATAAGGCAATTTGCCATCGATCGTTTCAAATCTGCTAGGATCAAATTTGTCCGGCTCAGGAAAATACTTAGGATCTCGGTGAATGCCATAAGCGAAAATCATGATATTAACACCTTTCGGGATTTTCGTATCACCAAATTCGACTTCTTGGTTGGTTTCTCTGGCATAGAAAGGTACCGAGGGATACAAACGAAGCGCTTCTTTAATCACAAGCTCCAAATACTTCATCTCCTGCAAGTCGGAGTAGCCCACATTAGGGTTCTTCTCCTTACCAAAAAGTGCCACTTGTTCCTCGTATGCTTTTTCTTGAGCTTCAGGACTATTGGCTAAACAATACAGTGCAAAACTTATGCCTGAAGCCGTCGTGTCATGTCCCTAAATAAATAAAAGTGAAACCAGAAACGAAAAAAAAATTAATTGAACCTACCTCAAACATGAAAGTGTCAACTTCTTCTCTTATTTCTTCGTTAGTTAGAGGCCTTCCGTCGACAGTAGCTTGCAAAAGTAGGTCCAAAAATGCCATTTTCTTCTTAATCCCTATGTCGATAACATTTTCACTAACTTTCGATGTTTGGTCTTTCAAGAGTTCTTCTCGTCGCTTTCTGATCACATTATTTGTGTAATTGTGCAAGACTTTCAAGGCCTTCTTCTGAAGTTGGTAGTCTTTAGTGAAACGGAACAAAAATTCGTTACTTTTTTGTGGAGAAATTGCACGTTCCATGATAATTCGACCCATTTCCTTGACACTTTTAACATATTCCGATTCTTCGTTGTCTTGGGCGTTTATAGTAGTACCCATTGCAGTTTCTATTGGTACGTAAAAATGTAATACAGTTTAATTGATTCAATTAAATCTTACCACAAATGATATCTAAAGCACAAAGTGTGACAATAGGGTAAATATCGACACTCTCACACCCCACTTTTTTCCTAAGTTTGTTGATCATAACATCACCAGCAGCGTCGAAGGAATTGTTAAATTGCTCAAGAATTTTAAAATGAAACGTGGGTGTAATAATTCTTCTGTGTTTTTTCCATTTAATTCCTGTAGTACATTATTTGAACAAAATAAATCAATATAAACACCAAAATCCATACCTTCGCTTGTGAGTAACCCAGTCCCTAGCCACGGCAACATAGTTTTATAATTCTGTGATTTATTGATGATTCTCGTTGAACTTAAGACAAATTCCAGAAATTTATAATCAGAGATTAGGAGCAATTTTCGGAACGGTCCGATTTGAATTTTAACAACTCCGCCGTAATTTTTCTTATAATTGAAAAAAACAGGCAAAGCGCCTAAAATTTACAATGAATTGTGATAACAAAAATGTTTCTCTTACCTTTGGTTTTATCTTTGAAGTCGAGCGCATTGCCTAGTAGTGGAACACCAGGAGGGCCGGAGACGTTTTTGAAAAATTTACCAACTTTGTAATTTTTCAAGAAGAAGTACCACCAAGATAGCACTATAATCACAACCAAAGTTGAGAAAAACTCAAGGATGATATTCATGTTGTAGGTGTAAAAGTGTTAACTGTTTTAAGTCAAGAGGCAATTGAATTCGCTTTTATAGTACGAGGAGAATCCGTATTTTTAACTGTCATCGACGATTTCCTAATAAATCGAACAAAGTCCGTGTATTTTAAAAACAATGATCTTCTTTCAAGATTAAGAGCAAAGAGGGGGCAAATTGTGAACAAACAACGTTTTACTAAAAATTGTTTATTTTTATTATACTATCATTAATTATGCCAATACAAAACAAAGTTTAACCTCATTTTTCTAGAACTTGCTCCTAAAATAAGAATTTTTAAAGTTGGACTTGTGTATCCTGATCGTAATGATAATGCTGTTGCATTATTTTAATCCGTTTAAAAAAAAAAACAAAACAATTCTTCTAAAAATTCAGTAGTCTTTTTTTACCAATTTTCAACCTGTGACATAAAGTATGCAAGTATTGGAATTTTTCTCAAATATTTTTTAAAAAAAAATTTGCCAAAAAACAGTCGCAAACATGTTAACAGTCCAACTTTAGCATTCAAGAAGTGTAAGTGGAGTTATACTCTTCGTCAAGCAACAAAGATCATTGAAGTTTTTCCAAAATCGTTGTAATAACTGATATGCATAAACAGCAAGTTTGTAAACAAATTAAAAAGTGGGCGTCAGTGACACACCTCCGTTGTGCACATATCAGAAACAAGGGTTCAATACTTGGACTGTACGTAAAAGATTATCTCTCAGTTCATGGATGTTGCGTCTGATGAAATAATAAATCTCATGTGATTCATTAACATCGAGATAATTAAAAAGAGAATCCAAACACATTCAGAACTTTGAACCGAACACTGATAAAAATTATTAATTTGCAAGAAAATGTTTTATCTCGAGACTTGTTATGTTACCAAAGATTAATATTTTGCCTTTTATCGCCGACCCAATAAAATTAAGGAAGCGTTATTTTGTGTCGCAATAGATGTTTTGAGAGCTGATTTTCAAAAATAAATACTTATCGTCTTATACAGGATGTACCGGCGAGTTGAAAAACTCTATTAGTGACCTTTAATATTTATTTAAATATAGGACATTGGTAGATACTAATCTAGTCCATCGCTTAAAATTATTTTCAAGTATACAGCGTGTCTCAAAAATAAGTTACAATACAAACTTGTGTTTTTTTAAATGAAACACCATATGTTTGTTTACTTATTACACAAAAACTAAGACATCTAGAAATATTTTTTTTTGCTACCGCAAAGAAGAAGGTACAAGCTACAAGGTTGTAACATTTTTTTTAGTGTGTTGCATTTGCAAAGATAAAAAAACTGAAGGCGTTTGTTAAAAGCTCAATAACTTAAAAAAATTAAATGGGACACCCTATTTACTGTTTTTGTATTTAAAAGATTATTAAATTGTCTTTCAAAAATTATTTACTTTTAGGTGTTTAGAATCAATAACTAAAAAAATATTTAACTTTAAACATTAAAAAAAAATACTATTATTTCAGTAGTAAAAAATTACTATTGTTTCAGTGCACAGATGCACAAGAGATGGAAGAAATATCGTTTAATAATCACATTTGTGTTAAACAAAATCCATTATTCTTTATTTTTACAATAAAATAATTTGAATTTCAGTATTTGTAACGACTTTACAATCTGTGGATAAATCAACGGAAAACTGATCCGTGGTGGAATTACTACCAGGTGAATAAAAAATATGGAACCAAAGGTTTTTTGCTTAAACTATTTATTTTTTGAAAAAACTAATTGATGAGTAATAGAGTACTATAAAAATGTGATGTTTTAACAAGAATAACATTTTTCAAAATTTTCTTTTGTTTTTGAGTTCTACAAAAAAAATAATTTTTTTAAATGGCAACCCACTATAGAATCATTTTTCTCATAAAAGCTATACTCTAAGGATTACAACTATCTGCTATATATTTAATTTTTTCAAAAAAAATTTTGCACATAAATTGCAGTTTTGACAAAAAAATCGCATAACTCAAAAACAAAACAAAATTTCGTTCTGAAAATACGATCACATTTTTTATATTACTCTAATTTAAATTAGTTATTATTTTCTGGAGGCAAATGATTAAAAATAAAACCGTTTGGTTCCATACTTTATATATGGTATATGGTTGCTATAGTATTAAAAAATGCTCAGATATCGATAGGCATTGTTGCTACAATAAATATTGAATGTTAAATGTCTTTTCATTTATCAATTCTAGACATTAAAAGTGTATTTTTTTGGAAAGACAAAATTTATCAATCAATTAGATGCAAAAATAAAAATAGGGAGTTCCATTTAAATTTTTTAAGTTATTTAGCTTTTAACAAACTTCTTAATTTATTAATCTTTACAAATGCAAAACACTAAAAAATTGCTACACCTTTAAATCTTGTACTTTCTTCTTTGCAGAACTGAGAAAAAAATTTGTTCTAGCTGTCTTAGTTTTGTGTAATTTTAAAAAAGTGCATATTTTCGTCAAACAAAGTCCTATTTCTAAAACTAAGCAAAATCGACTAATAAAAGTTTAGCGTAAAACATTGTTATCCGAAAATGCAAAGCAGCATACGGTGCTATATTTAAAAAAACACAACTTATTTTTTGGAACATGCTGTATGATTGAAAATAATTTTTGGTGAAGCACTAGATTAGAATTTATCAATGTCCTACACATTTTTTTAAATTTAATTTAATTTAAAGGTCACTAATGGACTTTTTCAACTTGCCGGGACACCTGTATAAGGAATTTTTAAATAATAGGCAAAATTTTATTAAATGATGGCATACAGAATAAAAAAGCCTTCATAAAGTTCTTCCTAAGTCGCATTGTAACTGAGAAAATAATACAACTCTAGGTCACGTGTCACGAGAGAGTTTAAGACTTTTTTTGTTGTTATGATATCACCCTGTACAATTTTGTCTGTTATTTCAAAACCAGCCTGTATAGTGGAGACAATTGCGTCTGTATCGTATTTGGCTAATAATAACGCTAATTCTTTCCACTATAAGCCTGAACTATAACATCCAGAAAGATAATGTTTCGAGAATCGCGAGGAATTACCTAGAAATGAATAACGAAATGTTTCAAAGTCAGCAGGTCAAAATCGAGAATTTTTTGCAACTCGGTTGATAGCAAAACCGAAATTTATTCTCTAAGTACATCCTTTTCTGTAATAGCTAGATAAAAATAAACACATCAAAAACCCAAAACAATATTTTATTAACAAATTGGAATTATATAGGTACTAGAGAAATCAACAACAAAAAATTAAACAACAAATGTATAATAATATAAATGTGACACTCTCAAACTCATTCTGACTGTTTAAAATATTTGAATTTATTAATTATTATTTTACCACTTACAATTTCCTTTATTATTTTTTCTATTTATCTTTTTAATTTATCTCCAAGTTTAATTTGACATTCATTTTGATAAAAACACAAAACAACAAATAATGTATTTTATTTGCAAATTTTCAACAATACAACAGTTTAACTACAATTTATTAAACAAACAAAAATTGTGAGGTTGTTGGAAACATAATTATCCAGCCTGACGAAATAAATAATTAAGAATAATAATAGAATTAGATTATTATACCTGATAATAATCTTGCTCTGCTAAAATTTTGGAGGCCCTACTAGAAATCCCTCTGACGGGTGGTTCAAGATCATGAACTAACTTGTAGACATCGGATCGTTGGAGATAATCCAAATTTTTAGGTGGAGGCTGATATTTCAAAAAGTTTATCCTGTAACAAATATCAACATCACTACACATCAATGATTATTACATTTCTATAAAATCGTTTGTATAATACATTTCTAGTGGTGGCAATTTTTTAAAAGCGTTTTCAAATACTTACTTTTTCGTTGCGACCGCTTTACTGGGAACCAGACAACAATTGGACTCTCTAAAACAACAAAACTGAAAGCATGCCACAACACAAACATCATAAACCACCAAAGTTTGAAAATTCAGGAAATGGTGGTTTAATGTTTAACTGAAACACCTAGACAATACCTGTAAATAGGCTTTTTTTTGTCGGACCATGGCCAGATTTGGTTCCAATGGTTAACCTGAAATTAACACCCATTCAGTTAAAAACACTAACATAATTGCCTACCCTTTCAGTTTCCCAACGATTACTTCGGAATAGGTCTCTATAGTATTTGCAATTTTTTCATCGGACATTTTTGGATGTCGAGCAGATGGACATGCGTCATCAGGTTGAGACCATCTCCGACCTCCTGGTAAAATTATGGGACGCTCAATAGGTTTTAAAGGTAAGGTTGGTTTTTGTTTCAAACGACGTTGCTTGAACTCCTCGAATTGTTCTCGCTCCTAACAAAATTTGATTTTGAAATGTTTTATTTATTTTTTCTTGAAACAAACACAAAAATTTCGCAAATATGCTCCTAATCGTCACCTTTTGCTGTTTTTCCAAAAGCTCGCGTTCTAATCTTTTGGCTTCTTCCTCCTCTTCGGTCAAACTTTCCTCAGGATCGACTTGCTTTTCTTCCACTTCAACGGTTTCATCGCACATTTCTGTTTCTTCAGACTGTTGCATTTCGGCATCGAGTTGTTTTTCTTCTTCTAATTCGCCAAAGACTTCGTCTTGATTGGAAGAGACGTAACTTTCTACAGTTAATATCAATAAAGATAAAATTAAAATGTTTACATTTTTGCCATACCTTCAGTAACAGCTTGTTCAGCTTTGTCATCCTCAAATTCCGAATTAACCTCTGACATTGCTTTATCTTCACTTTCAGCAACCGATGACGTTGTGATATGGACAATTGTTGCTAATTGTTTAGTAACAGCATCAATTGTTGATTGAATTGTTGAAGGTAACTGGGCTAAAGCTTGTAACTGTTTCTGAACTTCGGCAAGTTTTTCTTCTAACACTTTTTCCAGCTCAGCTACAGAAATAGTTAGAATTAATCACGTAATACAGTTTTAACTCACCATTTTTCTCCGCTTGTTCCTTATTATTGGATTCAGTTGACACGTCTAAAAATTGAAATTAGAATTAAAAAAATATTCGAGTTCAATTACCTTTTTCTGCATCACTGTTCTCTTCACTTTCTTTATCTTCAATTCGTATTTCTCCCTCTTCTGTAACTTCAGCCCGAACTGAAATTTCTTGAACAGCAGCTACATTTGATTCTAATGCAACATTTTCAAGTTCTTCATTTTTTTCAACTACTTCTTCTTTAGTGTCCACTTTTGTTTCATTCATTTTGTTCTTATCTTGAGTTTTTTTCTTTTGTTTTGTTATTATAACTCTGTAAGGCTCCCCCTAACAAAATTAAATTTACTCATGTAATTAATTAATTAAAATTGATTTACTTTTGGAGCGTCTTCTTGTTTTTTTACTACAGGTTTTGGATTTTTTGGTTTTTGCAAAAATGTTGACCACTTTCGTTCTTCCACTATTGGAACTGAAGCATTCAAAGACTTAGTTTCTCTAAAAATGTTATTTGATTTTAATTCTTATAACTGGAATATTTACAAAAGGACATACTTTTGTGCTATTATTTGAGTTTTATTTTGTTCTTCCACAGAGTCACCAACATCTAATAAAAATAATTAATGGGTGTAAGTAAACTTTATTATAAGTTTGACTTACTTAACTGGTTGGGATTCACGATTTCAAAATGCACTTGTCGTTCATCTTCGATTATTTCTTCATTTTCTATACAACTTTGCATAATATTTTCTACTTCTTCATTATTTTCTTGTTCCTGAATTATTATTGCACTTACTAATCTTCTTACTAAACTTAATTCAAAATACTTACGTACGTTGAAGACAAATCTCTTTAAAAAAATAAAATAATAAGTTAATTGAAAATATAATTGCAATGAAATAAAATTCTACCTCCTAACTGCTAAAGTTAAGTTATTTCCCGCTGAAACTAGCAAATCGTGGGCATCAGGATGCGTAATACCGATGGTAGGGGTGTCGTTTACTCTGACAATAATATCATTTTCTCTAAGTCCCCCATTTTCGGCAATACTATTTGGTGCCACCTGTGTACGAAACAATTAGGAATTGTTTTGTTCTGAAAAGATTTGTACCTTGACCACAATAAGTGGAACGTCATATTCGGCTCCACCAGTGAGGCGAAAGCCCCACGATTCGTTATCCGATTTTACAAAATTTAATTCTATAGCCATTTGATGAGAACATTGAGATTGGTGTCGCACCTCAATTAGCAAAACACTGTCGCAACACTGAAGCTTTCTAGATCATACTATTTTAATTTAGGACTGGTTTAATGCCACATTACTATCAATACATTTGGAACAAATCTCTATTGACTGCCAACAATTCATCAGTGATTTATGAGGAACATTTTTCATTTAAAAGAATTTGAAAATTTTGGGTACCAAGAACAATAGTTTGTTCTTACCGTTTACAAACACGTGGAATTTTAATTTTGTTTACACAATTCTTGTTTATGTGCTCTACAACATTTTGGGATAAAAATTGCAATGAAACAAGAGGTAAACTAATATATTTTTGAAAATGTAAAAAAAAATTGAAAAAACTTTTTTAGTTGTAATACACAAGGGACCTGGAATTAGTTGTACAATTTTTTGAAGCTTAGTGCAAATTGTTTGGAATTATTTCGAAGTATTTGGAACTATTAAAATTATCTTTGGATTGTTTAGAATTACTGGAATTATTTTTGAAGTAGGTACCAAAATTATTTGAATTTTTTGAAATTAGTGAAATTCTTTTTGAAATTATCAGAAATTTTTTTTTGAAAATTATGTTGAATTTTTTAGAACTATTAAAATTAAACTCTTCAAAACGAAAAAAGAGCCATCTTATTTGTAACATTAATAAAGTAAGGTTGGCGACCACCCAGTAATCTTAAAATTAAACATACAATACAACAAAATTATTATTATATAAAAATATTATTTACTCCAAAAAACAATCAGACTTTTAGACGTGGCTCCTTTTTCGTTTTGACTAGTTTATTTTAGAATTACGAAAATTAAGTTGGAATTACAGAATTTATTTGGAATTATAGGAATTAATTGGAAATCAATCAAATTAGGATAGATTATTAGAATTTCTGGAATTTCAATTAAATTTTTTTGAAGTTACTGAAATTATTAGTAAATTACTACAATATTTCTAGCATTACCGGAATACTTTTTAGATATATTGGAGATAACTTCTTTTCAAAATTACGTTGAATTTTTTAGATCTATGGAAATTAATTTAGAATTACAGGAATTATTTTGGAATTAATTACGAAATTTAAGTTTGATTTACAGGAAAATTTGTAATTGTAGGAATTAATCTGAAAACCACAGAACTATAATGGATTATTGGAATAACTGACATTTTGGGAGAATTTTTTTGAAATTACTAGAATTCTGCTGGATTTTTGTTGTAAATGAAATTATTTTTTTCAAGTTATCGTTCTCTCGATAATAAAAAACCTACTTTTCAATTAAACGCAAACGCAAATATTAATGGGAAAAATAAGTATTAGATGTAATATTTGTCTTAGTTATAAAAATCATTTTTTATGAAACATTTTTGAATTATAAACTATATAAACTGAGTGTTGGGTTGCATAAGTGTAAGATTACACAGCAGTGTACAATTTGTTTTAATAAATTAAGTTTTTAATAATAAAATAAAATATTCCGTCTACCTAATTAACTAATATTTAATTCAAATAAAAACATAAAAATTATCCAGATTCCAAAATGCGTTGTGTAATAAAAAACAAATATTTTATATAAAATAATTTTATTCCAATCAAATCGACAGAACCAATCGGAACAAACAGTGCCCCCACAAATGTTTTGTGTTACAAAATAAATAATTATAAATTAATCCATTTCAAAAGCTAATTTCATTATTGTTTTGAACCTCTTCTACTCTGCTGTCATCATCATTTCTTTCTTCTCCACTTTCTCTCCCTCTTTCTCCAAACTCTCCGTCCTAGTCTTCTCAGTGGAAACCTCTCCTGTACCCCCTTCAACCGGCTTATTCCCAATAGCCTGTTGGAACTGATTCCCAATGGCTTGCGCCCCCGACACCAGCGGATTCGATCCATTTTGCCCCCCTTGACCCCCAATCGCTTGACCAAACTGACTTCCAATCGCTTGCGCACCTGAAACGAACGGATTCGACCCGTTACCACCTTGTCCGCCAAACTGACTACCAATGGACTGAATCGGATTAGAGCCCCCTTGCTGGTTTTGACCCCCCTGACCTCCTGGAGGCCGGAAAATGTTCACATTCTGGAACGCCTGACCAATACTTTGGATGAAATTCCCCGGCGTGGTTGAGGAGCCTTCATCGCCTTGGACCGGAGGCCTGGCGGAGGTAGAAGGACGGAAGTTATTGACCACTTGGTTGAATTGGTTGATCGCGCCCTGGAAAAATCCGGGGGCGTTGGTGGTGACTCCGGTGTCGCTTTGGTTAAGGTTGATAGATTGAATGGGGTTGTTTCCTGGGCTCCCCTGACCTTGGAAAAACTGCTGGATTGAGCTGACAAAGGTGTTGATAAAGTTTGAGCCGCCGTTACTATCGGTTCCAGTGTCCTCTTGACCGGTACTATTCTGGCGGTTTATGTTGTTCATATTGTTTATAATTTGATTCATTCCTGAAATTTCTTGATTAAAATTTGTTCATTAATAATAGGAAATAACTAACCTCCTTGGAAAAAGTTGACAAAGCTCTGCCATGGACCTTGTTGCTGTTGTGGTTGTTGTTCATCCTCGGACCCAGTCGGTTTCTGATTTTGCCCATTTTGGGGAAAATAATTACTCATGAAATTATTGGAAATCGCTTGAAAACCATTGATCAAGTTTTGCATGAACTGATTTTGATTCTGACTCGTATTATTATTTGTTGGTTGATCTTGTTTCAAACTAAGGACACTCTTGTATTGATCTCTGAAATAATCATGCAGGGTTTGATTTAACTTTTCCCAAGCTTCTGCAGTCGGTTTGGCCCCTGGTATACTCTCTGAAGCTTTATCAAAATTCTCCCTAATTGTGTTTATGCCAGCATAGGCCATCTCTTCTGCCCTTTTCAAAAGAGCAATCAAATTCCCTGATTGTGCGGAATTTTCCGAAGCTTCAGCAACGGCTGCTTTAACATTTTCGTCAACTTCCACCGCATTTGCTGAAAATTTCACCGACTGGCCGATTTCCTCAGGCGACAATTGATTTTTCTCATTTAAATTTTCCACCCCATGTTGACTTCCAGCTTCCTCTTCTTCAAAATCAATTTTTTCTGCGTTGATAATGTCATCACTAAGTTTCAATTTGAGTAATTCGTCTGATGATAATTGTATTTTCGCGTCTAAATTTCTCGTTCCATACGTAGCTGGATTGGTTCTATCGTAGACAATTTCAACGGGAATATTTCTCGTTTTGAGTACCGCTGATTGGGCAGTCAAGAACAAACAAAAAACCACCGAACATCTTGACCACATGGTGCTGAACGTTTAACTGAAGTTGATGAACTCTTTGGTTGGATTTTATATCTAGTTCTTGTTTATATGTAATTTTTTCCCATATTATTAAGGAGCGGAGTGTTTTAACCGGTCCTGAGATCGATAAGATATATATTCTTGTAGCAACATCTCCAAGAACTGCAACCGAGGGTCAAGGCCTCTGGACCGTTATTGTTCGGCATTAAAACAAATTCTTCATTAATTTTATGTACGCGACAGTTACAAAATTTACATCTATTTTCCAAAAATTCCAATTTAGCAGGAAAAATGTTCAGTTAATCGAACGCTCGTTTATCACCTGTCGACAGTTGCACATTTTTCAGTCAAATCAAAATACTAATTAGTTGTCAAAACGTCGCTAATAAAAAGCAAACTCAGGAAATTTGAGCCAAAGTTGTAATAAAATATTTCTTTCTGGAATAAACTGTGTAACCAACTAATTGCAAAAACGCTTAGCTTGGTTCGAAGAAGAACAAGCAATTTGCATAATGACCCAAAAAGGTGATAAATGGTTGTTGACGCGATGATAAAGAAACTTATTTGAATTTGGTACAACAGTTTCTAAAGTGGTACAGATTATGCTAACGAGTTTATTATCCTTTCTTTTGTATTCAAAACAGGTAGATTTTTAGTAATTAAAAGAACGATCGATAATTTTTGTGAAACGGTAAAGCAGAATGTAGTTTTGGTAATTGAAAAAAGCTAACCTGACCTGTCACGACCGAGCTTGAACTTTATGGTTATAAACTTTAGGCAAACCTGTAGTGAATGTTGGAGAGATTTTTTTTAAAGACGTTATAAGAAAATATTGATGCAAAAGTATTTTCTTCATTAACATTTTTACATTCAACAAGACAAGTTGTAATTTTTCCTTGAAGATGAAAGTAGTTTTCCGAAATAATTTATTGTTTCATTAAAAATTTAGTGACCCCAAATCGTATTCAAGGAATACAATTTCCTCCATTTAGAAGAAATAAAAAATTAACAAGAAACCAATGTGGGTTAAAGATAAAATAAAATTTATTTTATTTTTTGCAGAAACCCAAACATACTTTCAAAAACCACTCTAACTCGTTATTAGTGATAAACACATAAATAGAACCAATAGGAGAAGAATAAGAATTGATTTATTATGTTAACTTTTTAAATAATTTTGCACACAAAATTACAGTATTTATTGCGGCGTTTCAAAATCACCACTGCTTGTTGTTCAAAAATAAGAGAAAATGTCCAATTAATTAGTCTACTGTATAAGGCAGACCGGCGTCTGAATGTTGTACCTATTCATTTTTTAAAGTCATTAAGGCTTACGAAAGAAAATTTATAACATTTTTATTTGTTAGTCATTATAAGAAACCGTCTGCCTACACACCATATGTATATAAAGAATTCACGATTAGTTAAATTAATTGAAAGTAAATGTTAATGAAACAAGAAATTCATCTCTTGATGAAATATTCATGTAATTTAGTAACAAAGATAAACGAAGCTACTATTAATCTTTTAAAAACTGTGTAACATGTTTGCTCTCCGTAGTTTTATCTAAATGTTGTAATCTATTAATATATTAATCCATTTTTGTTTTATCCAAAACTAACACCTACCTGTAGGTCAAAATGCGTCATAAAGGAATAATAAAATTAAACAACAAAACAAATACATATGATTCTTTATTAAAAATAAATAATATCACAATGAATTAACACACATCACGTATTTCAGTGTACTAATAATTATTTTTACAACAAATTACTCTTTGAATTAGTCGCAAAATTGGATTGATACAACATGGAAGTGGTGTTGTATTTTTTTGGATTTCTGATGGTTTTGCCTTGTATACTTCTAATATACTTTGCACTACGTCTTGAATATTACGCTATTAACAAAATAATTTTTTTTTCGCTACTTACAATAATTGAAAATATTGTTACGTACTTCCATAACTGCTGAGCATTCTACATATTTCATGTGGTGACTTTTCGCCAAATTTTTAGCACCAGTCTCACTGATAAAAATCCCACCAGTAGAATTTAATCGGTCGATTGTGTTAACATCCTTTCGTAAATCACTTTTTGTCCCCAATAAAATTTTCCCTGATTGGCTTTTCCCACTTTCTTCGATTTCCGGAAGCCACTATAATTGTCTTTTATTTATAAAATATTATTAATTTTCCCCTAACGAATAAATAACAAATTCTAATCTAATTATACTATTTGTTCGATTGCAAAATGTATTAAGACTCGTTATTAGATTGAATTGTGAAAATATTGCAAGAAGATATCTTTAATTCAACAAGTGAACCAAAAAGCAACTGAAATTCCAAAGTTTTAGTAACAGCCTAGAATGCAAACTTGTAGAATCTGTTCAGTTGATGAATTAAAATAATCAATAGACAAACGATACTTATAGATTTCTGCAGATCAACTTGTTTACTTACTTTTTAACAAATGTCTTTAAAGAACTTTGGATTTTTTTTAATATTAGATAATTTGTAAACGAGTCATCTTTGGATCCGAAAACGTATGTCTGTTTTTGAACTAACTGCAGGTGAAACGTCAAATAAAATGACAAGTCGAAAGGTAAAACGGCAAAATGGATTGGAATTAGTCGCCAACGTATAATAGTTTTTGAAAGTAAATCATAAATTTAGTTATTAAAATCATCTTTTTGATCATGCCGGTTTATTCTTCGACTTGTCATTTTATTTGACGTTTCAGTCATCCAAGGATGACTCGATTAAAAATTATCTTAATCTCTCAATAGTTAAAATTTAAAGTTTCTAATTTCTTAAAAAATATTAACACGGCTCTTCATATTAATAAACAGGCTCCATCTTCTAAATGAATATTAAGTAAATGAGATTAAAAAAATACATTGAAAGTATAGGAACAGCCAGAATTTATAAAACATCTGCTTATTTAACTCACTAGAAACATTGTTTTTTTAAATGAACCATTAAGTTACTTTTTCCAAGAAAATCAAAATATTTTTACACTGAAAATACCTTGTTTCATTGCAACACTTACGACTGCTTTAACATTTGTGAAAGAATCCGTATTGGTAACATCAAAGCAGATTAAAAACACATCCGCAGATTCATAAACTTGTTTTCTTAACATGCTATAGTCTTCTTGGCCTATAAAATTGAATGTAAATGTACAGTTAGTATTGTATTTGATCATAAATACCAGCTGTGTCAAAAAGTACAATATCATAATTCTGGCCATTATGTTCAATACTTATTGAATGATTCTCAAATATTGTTGGTGTGTAATCTTTATCAATTTCATTTTTACATAACCTACAACAGTTTACAAATGAACAACTGTGAAAAAAATACTTACCTCCTTTCTTACCTCGTAAGCAGTGTAGTTTTGCCAACAAACCCATCACCCACAGCAACACATTTAATGACATTCCCGCTCATTTTATTATTACTGCCACAATTTACATTACAGTTTGCATAAACTGCTTTATTCACCTTTTGTTAAAAGCATCACTTATCTCACGCAGATTAATATTGTTTGATATTACAAATAGTTTAATAGGAATTCCATACACATACCTTTTTATCTTATCAGTGCTGATATTTTGTTCATTTGGAGAGTCTCTTAGGGGAAACACACAACAAACAAATTGTGTTAAACAATTTATTCAAATAAAAACAAAAATTGATTTTTATAAAATGCAAATTTGCCAGTAAATAAATAAAAATAAAGAGAAACTACTTTTACTCGCTTAACAATAGACGAACTTGATTCCTCACAACAACAACGTTCCTGCAGTATTCAAAATACCAATTTTAAACTTCGCATTACCTTTGCTCCTATCGGAAAAATCCGTTTAAACACTTATCTAAATAATAAATGGGATTACTTTTCCTTGTTCAACGCTTGGATGAACTCTTCTAGCTTCTCCTGAATCTGGCGAACACGTTCTAAAAAACAAAACAAACTCATAGGTAAACACCGACATTACTTACAAAAACAAGACATGCTGGATTTATAGAATTATCATTATTTATGATATCATTAAGTTGTAATTAAATTTATCTATAAATCTAAAGTGCAACGTACAAAATTTAATTGATTTGAAAAGCCCATCTAAAGCAAGATTAATGTCCAAAGTTTTAAATTTTATTCAACAAACCAACCCAAAATAAATTCATTCAATTGAGAAATTTATTAGATATACAGGGTGTAACAAAAAGATAGGAACAAAAAGTAACCCGAGATTCTCCAGGTCAAAACAAAGCGATTTAACCCAATTTACCTCTATACCAAGTTGCACCATTTAAAGTTAGAGGGCGGCAAAATTTAAAAATTATTTTAGTTTTTCTTTAATAACTTTTTAATGGAGAAACCAAATTTAATTCATGCAATTTAATACCAAAACCACATGTTTTGTGCTTTTTTTAATTTTAGTTATTGAAAGTACTTACCTATTAACAACTTAACACATTTTAAGTCATATTTTTGTTATACGTAATTCGAGTGGTGTAATTCTTTTTTTTATTCGAAAGGGTCATTATTTTCAGACAATTTTTGTATATTGTAAAATTTTTGAATCGGCCTTGGTTAGAGTAAAAATAATTTAAGTAGACGTGGCAAAATTTCGGACATTGGTCATTTATTGTTATTGTTTTTAAAATTGTAATTTTAAGTTTTAGTTTCCCTATATATGTTTGTGTTAATTAACAATAATGTACTCGTAATTAATTCTTAATTTAAACAAAAAAAGCATAATTCCATTGGCGTCCTCTAACTTTTAAATGGTACAACCTGGTATAGTGCAGATAATTTTAATTGTTCAGTAAGAAATTTCATTTAAATGGCAGCTTACATCATCACAATATTTATATTATCACATTAAAATCATGTGCAATTAAAAACTTTATTTACGCTGAAAGCTTGATAATTTTTTTATTCGATCCTTCCTAAAACCATTTAAACCAGAACTTACTCAATTCCTCAGCTAATGTGACCCTCCTGCCTGTAAGTAGCGTCTCCTTCTTATCACTATCCTGGCTATAATCCTCCAACACTTCTTTAATTTCTTTATCTAACCTCCTCGCTAAAATAGTAATAAAAATAAAACTCAAACAAACAAAACATATAAAAATTAACCTTCACGATTTGTTATCTGTTGTCTAAGCGCATTTGCAGTAACTTTCATCATTTGTTGAATTCTATGAAATAGCACAACATCGGAACAATCAACATCGGCCTGTTGATGATACAAATAAAACGATTTTCGACAATCGTACGCTTTTACAAGTGACTGTTTCAAAAAATGACGCCTATATACAGGGAACCACACTTCGCGTATAAACTCATTATCGACTTCGATACTGTTACGTTGCAATAAATTGTTCCTAATTGTGGTTAATTCGTCGTAACTAAGCAGAGGCGGGTGTTTCTGAAAAAATACCACATAAGATTTTGATTTAAAGAGAAAACGAAAATTACTTCATTAGAATAGAGGATTTTGTCTAATTCCGACTTGACGGCGCTTCTTTTGGCTTGCTGCTCACTTTGGTATTTCCAATACAGCCATCTGTCTTTCGCCGAAGGCCCCAAAAGGTCCCTCAACAAATCCTCCGTTTGTTTCAACTTATCTTTAACACTATTCTCAAGGAATTTCACAGCCGCATCCCAATCTCGTTTATCACCAACTGTCCGATCTTCCAAAGTATTCAACTGAATAACTCTCAACATTTCTGACGCTTTATCCTCCCACGAGTGTCTCTGCATGGCCTCACTAACAACTGCTGCTTTCAACAAATCGAAAACATCGTCATGATCGGGGGCCTCTTTCGCCTTATTCATAAACTTCTGAAATTCTTGTTGCAAAGTTTCCCAACCTGACTCAACCGATTGAGCCGGAAGTGCCTGCTCGGCCCACTGTCTCAACTTAATATCAACGGAAGTATTGAAAGTTTCCGAAGTCCCGGTTTGTGCCGACGGTAAATAAATGTTTTCAAACACGTGACTCGAAACTTTCTCCCAGATTTTACTCATGAGGCACTCTTCCCATTGTTTGGGACTGACTTGTGATAGGTTGACCACTTCGTCGAGGATTTCCGAACGCGCTCTTTCGAACAATTCATCTCTGTCTTGTTCCCGAATTCGCGGGAAATTGTTTTTCCACTCAGTTTCCAAATTGAAACGGCGAGCTTTGAACGCATCCGCTTGCTGCTCGACTGTCTCACGGACCATTTTCCAGAAACAATCGGCCACTGCAAGACTCAGATTACGTGTGGTAACTTGCGTTGAACGAATGACGCCATCTTTGAAGAGTTTAGAGTGTTTGAAAAAGTTTTCCTCGTAATCTTTGATGGTTTGAATCGAGTCGTCTTTGCGACCTCTGCCGGTGACGACAGCGAAGTAGCCAAGGGCTTTCATCGGGAATAGTTTACCAGAGAGGATTTTGCGTATCTGTTAATTGGAATGTTAAGTGGTTTAGAGGCACAAACTGGACTTACTCTATTCGGATCAGCTAAATTTTCTTCAGCCAAATCGACTTTAGTTAGGACGAAAATTGTTCGTTTGCCCTGAGGATCACATTGTGATACTAAATCGGTTACGTTGCTTCTTTCAGCATCGACAGCGCCGTCTTGGATACATAAAATTATCGCGTTTGGGTTGTTCATGTATGTTTGGGTCATTTGCTTTATACACTCGCGAGTATCTGACGCCATGTCCGTAGTGACAGTCTACAAAGTAGATAATAAAAAATTAAAAAAAAAACAATACATAATAATATATCATACAATCAAATCCACCAGTTTATTTTTATAAAGCATTTTTTGTATTATTCAAGACTATTTTTATGTTGTGTTTGTAACAAAAATGTTGTCCATTAAGAAGTTACATTGCAAATTAATAATTTTAAACAGCGAAAATAAAATAGAATTAATTTTTAAAAAAAGTTCAAAAATTGTGAAACTGACCCAATTCGAGAAGTTATTATTACAATTACCTTTAGATTGTATGGAATTATGGGAATTAATTTGAAATTACAGGAATTATTTTAAAATTACGAAAATTAAATCGAAATTACTAAAATTTCGATGGAATTTTTTTTGAAAATAGTTTTTTTTGTAGAACTCAAAAACAAAAAAAAATAGAAAAATTTTATTCCTGATAAAACATCAATTTTTATAGTACTTTATCAAAAAAATAAATAGTTTAAGCAAAAAACGTTTGGTTCCATTTTATTCACCTGATATGTACACATTTTTTTCAATTTGACCCTCAACCCAATTTTATAGTTATTTATTCGACGAGTTTGAGTGTAAATCGGACTCTTTATTTGACCGAGTGGATTTTTAAACCACGAGTGTAACGAGTGGTTTACCATCCACGAGGTGGAATAAAGCGTCCGATTTCCACTCAAACGAGTGAAATACAACATTTTATTCTTCGAATTAGAGTCAACAAGGCTTAAACTTGCTTTAAATCATTTAAAAATAATTTGACGTTTTGTATTGAGAAATGCCAAACAGTTGTCAAAACTTCCTTACACGGGAGAAAAACCATAAATTTTGACAGTATCGAAGAATAAAATAAGTTATTGTACAATACTCAACACCTAGCAAAGTATCTCATGAGAATTAGTCTAAAGTTCGGATTTTAGGTAGTACAGTTGCGGAATTAAAATTTCGGGCAGTATTGTCATTTTCATAATGTAAACTCTAAAACAACCTTTACATTAATAACCTCATTTTTTACTCTTGTCGTGTTTATGTCATTGTTTGCGTCACTGACAGACAAGTTTAATTGTCACATGTCAATCATGATGACAGTAAAAGGTAGTTTACAATGAACTTTTTAAAGTGACAAGAAAAATAATGCCTGAAATTTTAAATCCGTAACTGAACAAAGTTAAAAAAAATAATAGTATAATAACATTTATAGTAATAAAATAGTAATAAATAGTATAAAATAGAAGTGTCCAAACAAAAACGTTAAAATGTTTCGTGGGATAATTCCTTAGGTCAAAATTAAAAAACAGTTTCTACAAATTTATGTCCGGAAATGCTTCCTAAGGGAGCTAAAAATCGAGATTATTAAAAAAAAAATGCAAGATTTAGTACAATCCTCAGCAAAATCTCGTTTTTCTTGAAAACGAAACGTCGCCGTCGTAGAAGAAATAGTACAAGAGACATTTTTTAAAGCAAATGAATTAGTCAATAAATCCGAGTATGCTAAAAAAAATTCAAAATCTCTTCGAAAGCAAAATTTTAAGCCTTAAACAGGTTGATCACAGAGCCTTTCACCAGTAGCTTCTACACAAAAAAATACCCCAAGTGCAAATCTAGCTCAACCGTTTACTAAGATAATAATTGAAAAAAAAAACATTTTGTTTGCCTAAGGATTTTCGGACATACAGGGTGCGCCAGAACTCGCGCCCCAAAGAAAAATGTCATACAAGGTAAGATACCAGAAACATGGAAAAAATGTTAAAAAAAATTTATCTATAAAAATTTCGAAGTTATGAGGGTTTAAAGTTTACACTTTGACTCTATTTATTTCTGCTGGAAAAATAATTTTCCAAGTTTTTTTGCTATAGGCTATTAAAAGAGGAAACAAGGAAGTTGTATCCTAAATTGTAACTCTGTTCAAAGTCATTTGTGGCTTTTATTGTCAAAATTTTTGTCCCTTTACTAAATAATTGTAAAAAAAACATATACAAGATCATCAGTATCATTAAATAGATATAAAAAAATGTCAAATGTCAAAAAATAAAAGTCAAATTTTTTTGACAGATAGAATTTTTTTTCATGTTCCTGGTATCTTATCTTACTTGAAATTTATCTCTGGGGCGCGAGTTCTGGCGCAGCCTGTATTTTTTTTTTTCTATTTTGATCTAAAAAAATCAAGATTTGTTTTTTCGGACACACTGTATATTAAAATACGAGCTGCAGAATGCATCCATGCCAGAAGAGTCTGAAATTTCAAAACGAACCGCGTAGCAGCGAGTTGAAGAACAAACGATTGCTTGCATAGATGCAGAACAAGTGTTTTATAATATTTTTTTTCTATTTTGTGCATTTTCTGTCGTTTTTAAAGAAAAAAAAAAGAAATTTTTTTAGATGTACCTAAAACCCGGACTTGGTAATCATGACATTCCACGTATTTATAAATAAAAAAACTTACCGAAATAATACCTGGTAAATCAACTAGAACCATCCTCTGCAGCCCTGGCCCTTTAACCGTCATTGAAATAACCTCACTAGACACCGTCTTCCCACCCCTCACGCTATTCCTCATTCTGAGTTCCACCTCTCGCCTCAAATCCGACAAATCCGATTCTTTCGTCAAGTCAAACTCTCTGGTGGAATCCCTGAATTGGGCCACGTGATAAGGACCCTCAGACAGTGTGACTTTGACCGGTGCTCTCGTCATCATTTCTCCCCCTCCTCTAGGAAAAATTCTAGCCTGGGCGATCATCTCCAAGACAGAAGTCTTGCCGCTACTCTGATCTCCAACAACCACAACTCTGGGTAATTGATCTTGGGTGTTATACCCACTATCAAAATCAGCAAGTTCATCCAAAACTTCGCTATACATGTCAATCAAACTGCGTTTGATTTTTCTAGTTGGTGGTTTTTTGCCTTGTTTTAGTAACAGATTTTGTTTCCGTAATTCCTTGTTTTCTTTTTCAAGTCTTTCTAATTCTTTCTGATACTTGATTTGGGTTTGGATTATTTCATCTTGTAAATTATTTAGTCTGGTTTGGGCATCACGTCTTGCTCTTTCCTCTCTCTCAGGGTCACTGAATGGTTTTGCAAACACTGTATTCATTTCTTTTGTATCTGGAAGCCATGGAGCCAATATAGCAATAGATGAGATAGGGTTTGGTTAAAATGCCATACCTGAGTACAGTCTGTCTACAAACTCGGAAAGGCCGGAGAAAACACCTAAACAAAACAAAAAAGGGGGGTTTAGAAGTTAGAGAGAATGTACTCGGATATGCAACTTTGACAGAAATTACCATCAATGGCGGGTGGAAGCTGACCATTTTCTTGCTCTGCGGCCGCTATTGCATCATCTAATCTCTGATCAAACCATGTCCTAAACTCACTTAACTTTGATTCAGTCAAAGACTTTATCCTAGGATCTGAAAAATTGAATTACAACAAACTAAAATTATTCCAATTTCAAATTACCAATTGAAATATTGTTCTTAATGTTGTCTTTAAAATCTATCAAATTCCCGCGCCATTCTTGCCACTTTTCATTGTCAGGAAGAACATCATCTAACCATTTCAAGTCAGGCATTCCATCCTTCCAGTCTTGATATTTCTATCAAACACAGATAAAAAAATTGATAAATTAAAACTCTCCCAACCTTTTGTAATGCTCCTCCTCCTGCAACAGCACCTCCCAATAACAAATATCGGATTTTTAGAACACCCCTTAGAGCTCTAACTATCAACATTCCATACTCCCTTCGCTGGTATCTATAATGTTGGTAAAACAATGGTCGTGACCTTTCAAGAGCTCTACCGCCCCAAAGACTACCGTAATTTCTTTGGTATAGTTTACGTGGTCCATATTTTAGTGGGTTATTGGAATAAGAGCTTATAATAATTCGGCTAAAAATGAGGGTTTACATAACCTTAACGCGAGGTTATCAAGTATAAATAGACTTACCCAAATTTGCCCCTGATTAAGTGTTCCATAGTTCCGCTATGTAGATTTATTATTACAGCATTATATTGTTTTTAGACTAATTTTCCGAGAAAGATTTTAAATTTTCAGTTTCGGAAAAATTAGCTGTCATTGAAATGCCATTTGCCGGTTCAAAGATTACCAACATGAAGTGATAAAATTCCAAAATATTTTAGAAGTATAAGCAAGCCTCTTTACACAAACAATTTAAAAACATTTAATAATAATTCTCTTATAAAAAGTGAAAAACCAAAGTGAAGTTTTAACTCACATACATACTCAAATGTTACCAAAAATTTCACTGTAATAACCACAGAACGTAATAACTTATTCAGTATTGCTAATTGCCTATACTTAGCACATAAAACTGTGTACATAAATTATCGCATCGTATTTCACACCATTAAAATCATTGTCTTTATAACGATTTTTGGTTGTTTTAATGAACTTTTGCAAAAAACTTAGATTTTTGTACAAAATTCCGGTAAATTTTGTGTATCTCGCCTTATTTTTGTCTTAATTTTGTACAAAAACCAGTTAAATTAAATGAAACAAACAAAATAACATTAATATATCAATTCTTTTTGTAATTTTTAGGCGTGTTTGGACAAGACATTGCAAATAAGTGAGCCTCTGGCCTCTGGTTCAAAAACAAACAATAATAGTTTTTTTATTTCCAAAAAATCACCAGGTTTTAAAATTTTTACAAAAGTTTTCGCCAAATCAAAAATCACCAGATCAGTGGTGCAGGCAAGCATCGTTACAAAAATAATTTTTAAAAATTTTAATCATAATTGAAAAAAGATTTGATTGACATACTCAAATATTAAAAAAATTGTTAAGAGATAAAAAACTGACTTGGTTAAAACTTACTCTATACACACTCTACATTGCTGGTTGCCTATGCTTAGCGCATGAATGTGGGATTTCCATGAATTATTAATATTATCGCATCCATAATTCAGACTATCAAAAACGATTAAGTGACATAATACAACATTGGAATCATTATTTTTATAACACAAACTAGTTATATATACACCTTTGTGGCCTTCGCATTTGTAATGAGACCAGTAATTGCAAATGCTTAAATAGCCTGCGGAATGAGGTTTCGCACTTTTTTGTTGTAGCAGCAATGAAAATGAGCTAATCCATCGCAACAAGATTTCAAACTGACCTTGGCTTTGATCAGTTCAAGGCTGTAAAACAGCGCTGAAGATGGCAAAAAAATTAACGGACTCCAAGGATATTCGAGTCGACCAAACATTTGTTTGTTATCTGTGCTGAGGACATCCAGCAACGTTAAATTAAAATAACATTGCATTTTAATTTTTATCGCATCCACAAATTTATATAGTTATTCCAATTTCGTGTTAAAATTTCATTATTCATTTTTGACGCATTTTTTTTAATGTAAAAATTACAGAGAAACCGGAACTAATGAGTTATATGTTAAGCAGTGTTTATTATTCACTATTTAAACATTATTTTTGAAATAGCTTTTTTTCTGTTTCAATCTCGCGCAAGCGCACCATTTATCTGGCCAACTGTGATCTGCAAAATGTTTACAAACCCAACCACAACCTCAACAGTTCTTGAATAACCTAGCAATTAACTCGAGATATCTGTTTTAATACCAATAAAATTGTGATTTGATTTGAAAAATGCAACAAAACTATCTTGATAAACCACTTGAGGTAAGTAGTTATTAATAATTGCCGTAATAACAAAGTTAAAAATTTTAGGTAAATCCCGAGAACCCAGGCCGGGAAATCACCTGGTATCGCAGAGAACATAACAAATTGACACCATCAAATGACATCACAGATTGCACTTTTATAATCAACGGCGATGAAATCAGAGTCCATAAAGTCATCCTAATTTGGCACAGTCCTGTTTTTAAGAAAATGTTTTCAGGAGAGATGGCTTCTGATACGATTGGTATAACTGATATTGACGTTGAGGATTTCACCCAAATGTTAGAATTTCTTTATAGGAAAACTGTCGCAATTAAGTCAGTATTACACGCCTGGTCATTGTTTTATATCGCTCATAAGTATTTGTTAGATAGTTTTGGTACTTCCTGTACCAGATTTATTGAGGAAAATCTTGATATTACGAATTTAATGTTGAGTTATGAATATGCGGAAATGTACGGTCATGTGCAATTACAAAAACTTTGTTTGGAAGATGTAGAAAGTTACATTAGGGGATTTTTTTTGGAAGATTATGATTATCATATGAAACCCACAAGTCTTGCTACAATCTTGAAAAGACAGGTTTTGAATATTTTAAACAATAATGAACTTATTTTGGGAGTTTTAAACTGGGCTGTTGTTGAATGTGATGTGAAAAATATTAGTTTATCACCTGAAAATATTGTAGCTTTGTTAGAATCGTCACAAATTCTTCAGTATTTAACCGATTTGGAATTTAGTACTGATTCCAGTCAAAATAACTTAATTGCCAGCTGTTGTAGATTAATAAAATTAAAAAACATTAAACCTTATAGAAAGTATTCACAAAAACGCTCAAGTTTTCATTGCAAATGTAGAGATACATACAAGATTGCTACTAGAGTAGAATTAAGGGACAAAGTTTACCTATATTCACACATTAATGTCAATAGAGACACTTTACTCTATGGTTTAGTATTAGTAACAGAAGATAGACCCATAAATGATATGAATAATGAGTACAAGGGTGAGATTTTTGTACACATAAATGAGTATCAGAATCCTGTGATTATTTCTGAAACCAAATTTTGTGATATTATGCGTTATGAAGACCTGGTTTATGTTCCTTTATCTAATGTTATTTATTTAGAATCGGACAAAATCTATACGATTAGACTCGAGTATAAAAATGTAGATAGGTGGTATTCAGGTAACAAATTTGGCTCAGTTGTTTGTAATTATATGAGCAGTAAATTAGTGGATAAAAAAAAGAAAACCATATTTTTGTTCAGGGAATTGTCTGGATCTGTTTTGAAGGGACTCTCGTTTTATCCAGTCTAGACCGTATTTATTTGAATCAAAAATGTAAAACGAGCCATACCTAATTTATTATAAATAATTTCATCATTTATTTTGCGCGAAAACTTTTGGTTTGTATATTAACAGTTGAAAGATGGTGAATTTTGTATCAGATCTCGAATAGGACTACAACACCTGATTTTTTTATTAATAAAAATAAAGTAACCACAATTGACTTAGAAAGATTGCTTATTTTTTAGTTCATTCAAAGATTTTTCAATAAATGTTTAATTTTAAATTATACTTAATTAATAGGTATTTTATAAAAAGAAATCTTTTTTGGGTTAAGGGAGTTTAGAGATCTGCTTTAAGTGGACTCTTGTTTTTCACAGGTTTTAAAATTAAAATTAAAAAATTAAATGCTTCAATAATAATTTTCTTGTATAGATTTGTTATAGAATCACAAAGAAAATTAAAATGTATTTAAATTTTACTATTTATGTACTTGCCTTCTACCTGGGTCTTGTTTGGCGATATTGTAATAAAAAAATACAAAAAAATGTAGATGAAATAATTCAGTGTAGTCTCTGTTAATAAAGTGTTTTCTATAATTTTCATGACTTTTAATAAATTTTTCTATACCCTCTCCCTTAGAAAACAAAATTGACAGGTAGATCAGTTTTGTAGGAAAAAATTTTGATTTCAGAATCTTATCCGATGGTATATTTTCATGTATTTTTATTTGTAAAAATAAAAGATTGTTTAATATAAATGTTTAATATTAAAATATAATTTAAAAATAGATACAATAATTACTAAAAACTAGGGAGAGGAAGCGGATATTCACATGCGGAGAGGGAATTTTGAAGAGAACAAATCACGCCTTGGTGATTTAATTTTCTTCAAAATCTGGATATGAAGAATGAAGGGACTGTTAAAGAAATAATTTAAAGACGAATTCCTGGATTTCTGGAAGCAACAAAGTTCAACAATTCTTCACTGTCTTCACACACGAAAGGCTTAACATGGTAGCAAGCAACATCGTGCCATTTAACTCCATCATTGTAGAAGTTGTTCAAAATGGACAAGCAAGATTCGTCGTTACCCTGAAACACAAATTGGGAGTGGAATACATTATTTTTTCTCCAACGACCTCAAATACCTGTGCAGCTTCTCTGTTGTCGGGCTGAGGTTGGCCGAACCCTCCGGTGTGACTCCAGTCACCGGAATTTCTCTGGGTGGTGGGTCCAATCTTGGCTCCGGATCCAGACCAGAACCATCCATTGACGTTTGGAGGTTGCAAATCGGCGCGCTCACAACCGGCGAAGTTACATTTTCGGCCAGAGGTCCAGATGTAACGGACGTTGCCTCTGACTAGTCTCTGTTTGATGAATTCGTTCTCTTGGGGGGTTTCGAGGGAGACGGCGTCCATGCAATGTCTTCTGCAGATGTTTCGGGCGTCGAGCCAGTCCACTTCGAGGCTTCTTGTGGGGGGATGCTCCCAACTGAAGAAGTACGAATGTGTCACTCCGCGGGCGTCTCTGTAAGTGGCGTGGCGAACTCCTAATGGAGGAAATCATAAATTGAGTTTTTGTACACTTTCAAATATAGACACACCACTTTTTCTTTCCTTCCATTTACTGGAATAGATTTTTTGGCGAAAAAATACAATTTTTTGAATATTCTAGAATTTAAAAGTCCCATACAATTGCGGACACGGAATTTTGGGTTTTTGTAATTGAAAAAATGGCAACAAAACAAAATTATTTATTGAACTTCATATAAAAACACGTATTGCTGGCATTATTGTTTCGGAAATTCGACGCCAAAAATAAATTTCAACTAAAACTTTCAAATTTTAATTTGAAATGTCAATCATAATGACAATAAAGCGTGGCTTACATTGACATTTTTTGAATAACATAAATTTGAAGTTCAAAATTCCGGTATTACACAATAAGAGATTTTTTTCAAATATGAATTTAGTAATTTATTATGTGAAAACACAAAATGAATGTTTTTAAGTGTGGTTAAGAAATAATTGAGTAAAGTGAGCATTTTCCAGGACAAAGTATAATCACAATTTGTCTTACAAGCAAACTAAATTTCCATAATTACATGTGGTGACGAAACCTTCAAGAATGCGTGAAAAAGGAAAAGTGGAGAGATAATTGCTACAACACATAATTAATTGATTTATTATGCAATGCATTGAATCGTCTTAAATCAAATTATGAAGTGTGTTTATCTTGATTATAGAATGTTTCAATGATGGAATATGTTTACCTATATTTTTCCACCCAAAAATGTCTAATATTTAGCATTGACACCCTTAAAAGGTAATTGACATCATTTGAAATTAAGAGAAACATTGAGGCTGACGAAGGTCATTGTTTCTTGCTAATTTGCAATACAATGCTGAGTGATTTTTCCTTTGTTCTGTCAAGAGAACAATCACAGTTTGATGCTAATTGGTAACAAAACAAAAGTACTTACTGCTGGCACAACTTCTGGGGTCTGGCAGGGCAAGTCGTCTTTGGGCCATCACCATTGCGGCTCCTAACACAAGGAGCGTGAGTTCTCGAAACATTTTAGGCCTGAAAGAAATCGTTATTGAATTTTCCTTTACATTACACTGAAAATGTTACAAGGTTTCAAGCACATCACTTGCAAAATAGTTTAGTGTAACAAATTTTTCCGTACGGAAAAATGTGCTTCTAGAAAGGGCACAAAGTCTCTTGCATTGTGATTTAATTTGTTTGTTTTGCATTCAATGTAGAAAGTTCTGAGTAAATTAATTCGTTCGAGTCACGTCGTGACACCTGTAATTCTTTATAACTTAATCATTTTTCTCATCGGTGACAGACGATACAATAATTTAATTTCTCTGTAAATATCTTTAACCTACTAAACAAAAACGGTCGTGATTTCAAGTGAAATCTTGTGAGTTAAATCCTTGGATGGTATGCAAGGTGAATGTTTATCACTAATCCTCAATTTACTTTTATAATGACGAGATCTTGATACAACTTTCCACCTTTAAAAAAATACAAGATTGCTTTCCTCTGTAAGATTAGAGAAGATAGAAATAGTAGTAAGATAAATGATTGGCTAAATTTAAAAATATGCTATGCGAAACTGTTACGCGTGTTACTATTGAGGAAAAGGTGTTCATAATTGAATCGCATAAGGAGGCTAATACCACAATATTCCAACAACGAGAAAGAAATTGTGATTGAAGATGCAACTTTCGGTTTTTAAAGAGAATAATACTATTATGAAATAAGCTCACATCACCTACGAGTGAAATCTTTAAAAGTAATGTTAATTTTTAGTTGTAAACAAATCAACTTATTTATTTATTGATATTTAATTCGGTAATTAACACACATTTTTGCCATTATTTTGTGTGGTAACCTACAGAATAAAAATTGAGAAAAGCGATTTTTTTTACTTTCAAGTAATTTTTCAATTAAAAATCTGTTGATGAAGAAAGAAACCTCGATAAATGTATTCAGGCAATTTATCAAACATGTTTCTGTTTCGCCAACGAATTTCTTTCTAAACTTTTTCTAACACAAATTGTTAAATAGTATTTGTAAACTTGTTCTGTCATTTCTGCTATAAGAAAATCTTGTGTTTCACAGAAATTTCTTTGCTCATTTTCTTGAATTAAATCTTGCATTTTTTGCATACTTTAGGACATATACCTATTCACGTCTGTCAAGAATCTAACACTTTATTTTGATTTAAAAATGAAAATTTGCAAAGTTTTTAAATCAGTATACTATATGGCTTATGAGAAAAACAATTTGCTAACAAGTTATAAAACTTTTTAAAAATTACTTATTTTGTATACTTGTAACTTGTATTGTATACTTTACTATTTACTTTTTTTGTTGATTAAATAATTGGGTCCTACATGATTCAGAAGTAATTGAAATTTGAAATTTACTTTTTGAATTTATTAAAGTAAGTAGATATTCCGTTTTTATTGTTATAAATTAATCAAGTTCAAGAATATTCTGTTTTACGACAAAAGTTTCCCGTTTTTTAATGGGATTTTAGGTAAAATTACAAAATTTGGTATATTTTGTATGTTTCATTTTTATTTTAATATTTGTATGCTGATAACAGACGAACAGACTGAATTAATAAATTAATCAATTGATTTATGAAACAACGAGTTTTACAGCTTTAAAATTTAAATAAATTAAGTTCAAAAGAGATGCACCTAACAAGAAGTCTCTTTGATTTAAAAAATGAAATTTTTGTGTACAATTAGTTTTTAGGTTAAAATAAAGGATAAACCACTAGACATAACATAAAGCATTAAGGATATACACAAGTTTTTATTTTGCTTTGTTTTAGAAAAACTTAAAACTTTGTTGTGTTTTTATTTAATCTTAAAAATTGCAGAAAAAGTACCAGATAAGTAACATTTTATAAATTGAAAATATTCAAAAATTAAAAATGTGCAAAATTTTGATTGATAATAATTAAAGCAATTTAAATAATTTAATTTAAAAATATCTTGCTTAAGTTTTATAACAAAAAACAAATAAGTTTTAAGCAACAGGACTAATGTACATATTTCTATACTTAGAGGAAGTTTACAGTAGGAATTTCAAAATTAATTGGTATTTGTTGTTATATTATTCTAATGTTACATTTTAACATTTTTTCTACTATGATTCTAATATTTTATGCCTACACATTGATTTTTTATTTATTTAAATATAAAGTTATTTTGTCTCTTACAGTTATTTTTCTGCGACTTGATATGAATTTTACGTTTAAAAATGAACTAATCATGACAATTATTTCTTATTTTGCTGTATTTGCCTCCAACGATGGATGTTTTAGTGTATCAAGTCATTAATTACTGAATACTTAAGATTACTAATTAATTACAAAAGTAATTTAAATTATAATCTTGTAGAAATGCATTTAAGATTAACCAAATACTCTGTTCAAACAGTACACAAAAAACAGTTATAAAGGTGTGACCAAGAAATTGCGTCTTTTCTTCATTAACTAAATCAAAACAATAGCAGCACTTTTTTGAATCGTCCAAGATAATAAAAGATGATTAATCTGAGCCACTCCCGAAAGTGGCAAATTCCTCATTTCGAGCCTAGAACGCAACAGGTGCTTATTATTCTGTGTCAAGTGTAGGTCTGGTATTCGATTGTCCCGGATAAAGGATCGTTTCCGGGCGATCTGGGTCATTCGTTGACCTGGAGTTGCTTTCACGGTCACCGTCCCAGCCGGAGATGGCCACGTCTGGCAATATTACTCATTGATCGTCATTACTTATTCTAGTTGAAACGTCGTCGCCAATTCGATCACTTTTACCACCATCGAACTAGTTCAAAAATTTGCTATTGACCCGAAAAATTTCACTGGCGTCATTCATAAACGTGACATTATTGAAAGTTCATTGATCAAGCGATAGGAAAGTTCGAAATCTTGTTCCAGCAATTTGAATATTGTTAACATGGGACGGTTCAGATCACCTTGACCTTCATTGTGGGGTCAATATGGACGTTTTGTTGCTTTTTGAATCTCACTTTTCGGAAGCTTAGAGTCGCTTAGAGGTCGACAGGATTA